GACATACACCATCTGCCCGACCCTGGCTTTGAGAAAGCCTTGATCCTAACTCAGATTTTATTTTGGAGTTACTGGAAACAGAAATTGGTTATTGGCTCAATGTAGCCAGAGTCCAGCAGGCTCTAAAGTAGAGCAGAGGTGCACACTCCCAAGGGCAGGGCTGACTCTGGGGCCGTGGCCTAGCTTCTCCACGGTGCATTGTTCAGTACATGATCAAGAAATAAGTGAACATGCAGATGAATGTAATGCCAGCCAAAGAATATTGGTTTATTTTATTTTTCTTTGCCTATTACTTTCATTTGTGCTTCTAATACAGTATTTTGAACAAAGCAGTGCTTCCTGATATAACTCATTAAAAGATTCCAATGTCCTTTTGGAAATAAATTTCTTTTATTACATAAAGTAATAAAGAAATTGGAACACATATTGCCTTTCAATAATTTTTCTTAAAAGACACATGTATTTTGAGACTCGTTAGCTGTGACCACTCACCAGCTTCTGACAGGCAGAATGAACCTGGGTGATGCACAGGCCTGCTTAGTCAATTTACATACATTTTGGACTCCCATGTAATTCTGTCTTGTCATTTATTATCTGTGTGCATTTTGGCAAATCTGTTAACCTTTCTGACTTTAAGCAAACTACCTGTAAGATATGGCACCCTATTAAGGTTACATTTACATTTGAGGGAAACATTTTATGATCTAAGTTGTGTGCCTGGCTCAAATCCACACTATGGACTTTCCTGTTTATAACCTGTGCTGGTGATAACACAACTTTCTGGTTAAAAGGAACGGTGTCTTCATTAGGATAATATTCATGGAAAGGTTACATGTGCACTGTGTACCATCTCAGCTGTCCTGGGAAATCACTGTGACTTGGACCTTTCCCCTTGCCTCTAGAAATGGTGGTTTTCTTCTTTTGGAAAAATGGTATTCTTCTTCAGGAGATCCAAGATCCTAATGCGTAAGCATGAGGATGAAAGGTTATGATTTCCACAGCCTCTTGGTCCCCCCCCCACGCCTTCTTCTTGGGGTGTGTGTGTGGATTCGTCAAATGCACACTACCGTGGGAGAGTCTGTCCTGTGGTAACGGAGAGGACAGCCATGCGGAGGCCACCGGCTCACCCTGCTCCACCTCCAGCCACCCCTCCAGCTGTGACTGGGCCAGCTCCTGCCTGATGAACACATCTGCAGTGAGGTCTTGATGCAGAAAATGCCAAAGAGACGAGTCCCCTGCGAGGACTGGCATTCTGCTGTTTCCTCTGGACCCACCCCTAGGTGCCAGCTCTGCTTAGAAGGGACACCATGGGGCTGTGGTTCACCAGGGATAGTCTTCCAGCTGCTCCAACATGGTGTGGGCCCAGTCCTCAGCCCTGTCAGTTCTGGTGAGCGTTGTGCTTTGTCGGGGGATACTGGATCCTAGTGCATGGCTGCATCAGCGCACTGTTGGCCCTTCCAGGAAAAGCAACCCCCTTCCTCCTTCCTCCTCCCCATTCCGCCATGGAGCTCACATTTTTCCCTCAGGACAACTACCAACCATCAGAGGAAAGGCCGCCAGCGCCCCTCATCCCCCTTTGGCTGGTAAGCTGTGTGTCAAAGCCACAAAATACCCTGAGATCCAGGCTGCCCGGCCAAAGTCATGGCACCAGGTGCCCAGCTGCCCAAGATGTGAAGGTGGACTGAACTGAGAGCTTTCTTTTTCGGTCCATTCACCCCTCACCACCTCCCCTTCCACCTCCCCTTGCTTTTTTTCTTCATGATAGCACTTTGGAAAATGACTTTTAAGCACTAACGTTTTCTCATCATGGAAAATGTTTAAATTCAGAAAACCAAAAAATATAAAAAGGATGAAAGCAAACCAGAAAAGAAGACCCTCGCCCTTCCAGTTCTAGAGATGTTTCCGATTAATGTTTGGCGCATAGGCTTACCAGTCTTTTTCTGTGAAATGGTATTTTGACAAAATTGAATTGATGATGCATTATTCGGCACCATGCTCCTTTGCATGTCTACTCAGCCAGTCTAAGTATTTCCAAGTGTTTAGAAGTTTTAAATCCCTGTCTCTCTGGGGGCTGTAGAGCTGCTGTGAACATAGGGCACTGGGCTCTATGTGTGTCCTCCTGGCTCCCGAATGGAGGGCCCTGCAAGGTGTGTCAGTTTCTGAGTGGAAAGGAGACTTCAGGGCCTAAAATTCCACCACAAATACCAGGACTTCCAGTCTCTCTCCCCTTCCCAAGTGAAAGGACCACTATGCTTGTTTTTCTGTTAGGATTCCCATGAACTATTTTTTTAGACAAGATAGAAACAAGGTGGAAAACGATAAGAGTGTTTCTCTTCGTTCTGGAGGAAATGCAAACACAAGGGAGTTAAAACTAAGAAAATATTATTAGAGAGAGGTTGAATATACAATCCTTTAGGATATGAGTCACGCGTGACTCTTCTCAGAGTCCAGTGGCTCAGAGGAGAGCAGGGGACTTCTTGGCTACTAAGTCATATGATTGCCTTTATGACTCGCTATGACATTTGGTAACCATTACATTTATACCTGAAAACAAATCCCATCAAGAACTGCAGTTCTCTTTGGAAGGAGGGCTAGCAAAAAGAAGAAAATGTTGGTGAAATCATTTGTATCATTCATTTTTAAAATTCAGTGTAAAGTTATCAGAAAGTGTAAGACTATAAAGCAATAGCAACTCCGTTTGTTCTTAATATTTCTCAGGACATTAATGGGAAGGAAGCTTGAGGTTGAATCGTTGGGACAGAGCAGAGTAGGCATAAAAGCAACAGGATGAAAAATTCTTTTGCTGTTACTTTGCATTTTTGAGATTGGCACCTGAGACAGAGTCGAGCAATTTTCTTTCCAAAGGAACAGCTGTCTTCCACCCAGGACGTATTCTGTGGCAACATGAATTATAAATGCCTTTGAGAAAATTAGCAAGCTTGTTTTTCTCCTATTAAATGCCAAATATGAATAACAGACACAAGGTCAAGAAGACTTTGGTCTCCGTACTCGGGCTAAAATGTAGTCTCAAGGGACTCCCTCACTGAAGTGTGGGTGACACATGTGTGGGGGGGCGAGGGGAGGACTGAGATGGTTGTTGACTGAGGACAGACCCTAGTGAAAACCACTGGAATCAAATTCTACTTTACATGGATGTGAGAAACAGGCCCAGGCCCATGGTGGCTTCTTCGGTAGTGGCAGAAAGGGACAAGAGCAAGGACTCAACTTCCAGGACAACTGGCCATTCTGCCTTCAGTGGAACCCACATGGGCCTTCAGTATGGAGACAAATGCCTGGTCCACGTGCTGACCCTACCTTTTCCTGTCTTCCTCTGAGTTACCTCACCCTTCGCGCTTGGTGAATCACCTTTCCATGTCTCTCGTTAACTGGACTCAGCCGTGCTGGGCTGGGATGTGTGTGAGCTGTCAGGCAGGTGTGTAAGGTGGGACACCAGGCGGCTGGCAGAGATCCCACTCTGCCCTTCCTCCCGTGCGGTGCTGCTGCTGGGAGATGCTGGGTGTGGGCAGTGGTGTCCGTGTGTGAGGGGCTGAGAAGGAATCTGTTCTTATTCTTTGCTGTACTGTGCCCAGAAAGTCTCATTCTTATTCTGTGGATAGATGGTGGGATGTGGCGCTGGAGCTGAGATCCCTGTGGAGTGGGGTCTGTCTCACACAGGAGCAGTGGAGACGCTGGAGATGAGGTCCCCATGGAGTGGGGTCTGTCTCAGGAGCGGTGGGGATGTTCCTGACTTTTTATAACTGTACTCATTCCTCAGTCCTGTCTTCAGTTGCTCTAACAGGACAGGAATGATGCAACCTAGAAAAGCGGTGTAATTCAGAGTTAACTAATAACGGCAAATGCCACATTTCCTGTTTATTTGAAAATAATACATGGATCTGTTCCATAGGACCCAGGGTAGTGAGGGCTGTGAGCACAGGAAAAAGGATGAGAGATTCGCGGTTGGGCTGACACTGAATTTTCAGCTTTTCTTTCTAACCATTTTGGATGAACTTGGGGGAATTTGGTTCAAGTAAAGGTGATAACGATTGGGAAGTGTAGACCTTTACTCCTACGTGTGCTATCTCTAAGGGCTTCGAAAAGGAAGTGCCCCCAGGGTCTGAGGCACAGCCTGGAGGAGGGAGCCATCCAGCAATGGGGGTGAGATGGTCTGGGATGTCTCAGATGAGTAAGTGGAGATGGGAGACAGCAAACGCTGGCTGACTACCCCAAAGCAGAACTGGGCCAGCTGGGCAATGGCATGGGAAGCCTGGGGCACGGCTGGGGGTAGGGGTGGGGATCACGGTGGTGCAGTGGGGGGAAGGACGTGGGGCTGCGGGAGGGCACACCGCTCCTGCAGGCGGTGGCTGCAGGCTGTGCACGGTGGGAGCAAGCTCCCGGAACCCCATGCGTCCACTTCTGTCTACACAATCTTATGTAGAGATGATATTTTAATAGCATTTTTTTTCAAGACCGGTGAGCATTTTTCAAAAGGCAAGAAAAGTAACATCTATATGTTGGGTAAAACCCTCTAATTTTCCCCTTTAATTAGGAAAAAATAAGGACTCAGCAGTGAAGCTCTTTTATAAAATCTTTACCAGCTAAACTAGCCAGATATGTGTGGCTCACGCCTGTCATCCCAGCTACTTAGGAGGCTGAGATCTGAGGATTGTGGTTTGAAGCCAGCCCAGGCAGGAAAGTCTGTGAAATTCTTGCCTTCAATTAACCACCATAAAGCTGGAAGAAGAGCTGTGGCTCAGGTGGTACAGCGCTAGCCTTGAGTGAAAAAGCTAATGGACAGCATCCAGGCCCTGAGTTCTAGTCCCAATACTGGCAAAAAATACAAAAGGTAACTAATAAGACAGGAAGAGAAAGTTGTATGGGAGGGGTCTAGAAGTCCCCTCCCATCCCCCAGTCCACAATGCGACGTGACTTGGAATTCCAGAGCAAGTCCATGCGAACCCTCCCTTCCTGTTTAGAAACATGCACTAAAGCCACGTGGCTTGTGAGTGAAGGCTCACGACTTGAATTTATTTATTATCAAAATAGTTTTGTCAGGTAGTAGCCCGAGAGGGTGTGGAAACACAGAGCGACGCAGCCGCTGTAGGACAGACTTCAGCTTGAAAATCTTCCTTGTCACCCCAAATATTGTACATCTCTAGAAAACTTTTCTAAGTTTGTGCTTAAAGCTTTTCATCAATATGATTTATAAGTTTAAATAGTCTCAAATTTTCATCTGTATGCCATTTTACAGATCTTGGTTCACAATTGTTTGGTCTGAAACTTCAATCATCATTGATTATAGTAACAGTTCCTTAGTCATAATGTAGTTGATAATTAAATATAAAAATTATTATTTTATACATTACTACAAATCCCTTTAAAAAGACCAAGTTCTGAAAGACAGAGAGAGAGAGAGAGAGAGAGAGAGAGAGAGAACAAGAAGTTGTTTAGAAAATTGCAGGAGCTTCAAGAGTCTCAATCAGTAAAGCAGATACAAGAAAAAAGAACAGTCTTAGATACTCATTTTTGCCCCCAAGATTGCTGAAAATAAAAGATGGCAGACTGAGTGGTAGGAGTGTGGTAAGACATATGTGAGCTCAGAGCTGGGCAGGGCCGGGGGACGGACTGGATGGTATCAGAGTCCCCTCCTTCCGTACTTGTGCCAGAATAACCAAATTCCATTTGTGTCATCGTGTCTCCTTCCACGACGCACTCTCCCCCCCCTCGAGTCCCTCCAGTGACCGCCAGGTCTGTGTTGGGGCTTGGAGAGTTGCAGGCCTGCGGGATTGGCCAGTCTGTGCCAGGGGCTTCAGGCACGCTCACCACACACGGCACTTCCTCTCTGGGTTCATGTAGGAATTCTTGCGGCAGTGGAAGGCTTCGGCAAACTCAGCGGAGTTCTGTAGAGTCCCAATGATCCTAGAGACAGACCAAATATATAACTAAATAAAAAGTTCCTGTCGGTGTGTGACATGCAGGTCTGCAGTCCCGGGGACGCTGGGGAGTTTCTGGGAAGGCCACGTGAACGGGCCACGCCTCCAGCCCTTTTGTGCTGTAGTTATTTTCCAGCCATTTTGAGAAGTTTGTAGGCAGGTGCTAAAGATAAATAGAATCTGCAGAATGCATACAAATCCACCTCTATATAAAATAAAATATCAGGAACCAAGGCTCCTGTTTAAAGGAAATGAAGAAACACGGACACATTGGAGATAGGCTAGCCCCAAGCATGCTAATCATACAAAGAAACCCAACAGCCAGATTAGTTGAAAATATCTGCACAAAACACTAGAAAGAGTTTTGGAAATTAAGCAGGACACTGGTGACTTGTGCCTATAATACTACCCATGCAGGAAAATAAAATCTGGAGTATCATGACTTGAGGCCATCCCCAAATAAGCAGCAAAAAGCAAGACAGGAGGCATGGCTCAAGAGGTAGAATACCAGTCAAGTGAGCAAGCTGAGCAAGCGCAAGGCTCTGAGTTCAAACTCCAGTACTTCCAAAACAAATGAACAAAAAATATTGGAAATGAGGCCATGAAAAAATTCCATGGCTTGTCAGTGATGTGAGTTTTATAAAGTAGGAGTTGATACACATGTTTGAAAACAGAAGAGTGTAACATATTGAAATTTGTTTTAAAGGTGGAGGAGCTGAGGGAGATTTGATTTGGGTACACTGTATGTGTGTATAGAAATATCAAAATGATACCTTCTCCATACAACCGATATACATTAATAAAAATGTAAAAAGCAAAGAGAAGAACGCAGGTCAGTCCTCACTATGACCCTGATAGCTAACCAAGGGTTGGGTTTCCAAAAAGAAATCATATTTAAATTGTGGACTTAACGTCTACCATATTTAAAGGAATTACTTTTTAAGTCTTAAGGTTTATTTAGAAGCACATCGGGGTTTAGGAAGGCAGCATATGCCAAACACAGCTTCTGGTTTTACATCAAGAATGTGTCTTTTGTCTGTGATGCTGTGTGTGCTGCTTGGGCACAGGTTTACAAATTTCCCTCTGAAAATATTTTCATGTACAACATCAAGCCTGGTTTGTGAGTAGCAGCTCAGTGGCTGTTACTTTTAAAGTTCCTGAACAAATATGTTTTGCTTTGTACAGCCAGGAAGCAGCATGCTTGCAAAATAAATGTAAACTCAACCTTTTGCCAAGGAAATCCCTTCACCTCCAGAGAAAATAATAATTTCCTCGACAAAAAGTTGGCGTTCCATTTACTCTTGAAATCACACACACATACTTCTCTCATTATGAATGAAAAAATAGTTGGAGATATCTTTTAAGCCAGAACCCCCAAAGTTACTAAGTGATACAAATACTTTCCCACATGGTATGAATCAAAAAATGTTAGCGATTCTAATTGTATAAAATTATGTAAAACTTTTATGGTTTTAAAAATTGGGGGCAGAATCCTGTTATGTGCTTACCTATTAACTCCTAAGGGCAAGTTAGTTATTGAGATTTTCAACATAAGAATGAGCAACACAGCTGGCTGCCCATGGTACAGGCCTGTAACCCTAGCTGCTCAGGAGGCTGAGATCTGAGGGTCACACTTCGAAGCCTGCCTGAGCAAGACACATGGGACACACATCTCCAATGAGCCAGCCAGCACAGAGCTGGAAATGAAGGTGAGGGGCTCAAGTGGCAGAGCGCCGGCCTTGAGGGAGAAAGTTAAACAAGAGTGTGAGGCCTTGAGTTCACACCCCAGAGCTGGTTCAAAAGAGAGAGAGACATACACACAGACAGAGACAGAGACAGAGAAACAAGAGAAAGACAGAGTGACAGAGAGAGACATAGAGAGAGACACAGTCAGACAGACAGAGAGAGGAGCAACAAAAAGCCCTGGAGTTTCAGTTAGTAGAATAATGCTATGCAGCTGATGAATTTATGGGGCAAAAGGGTATAGTTGAAGATTCTGTGCTCATCAAGGAAGGTAGCAAATGCATTTTAAGGAAATACTGCTGTAGTGGTTGAGACTGATTTTTCCTGCTGTGAAGTTAATTTCTAACTCTTCTTCCTTGGGGGAGGGCAGGCAGGCAAGGCATTCTATTAACATTATAGGAACCCAGGTGTTCATGGGTACTTGGTTTAGTTCACGGGGCACATGGGGACACATTTAATAAAATTGATTATATGATGGAGTGTGTGAATTATAAATGTTCCCTGCCAGTCTCAGAATGCAATGATAATACTTTCAACTTACCAAGATTCCAGTGATGGGAAACCCCCACCACACTCTTTTTTTTTGTTGTTGGTTGTGGGGTCTGAACTCTGGGCCTGGGCGTTGTCCCTCAGCTCTTCAGCTCAAGGCTAGTGCTCTACCACTTGAGTCACAGCATCATTTCCAGCTTTTTCTGCTTATGTGGTGCTGAGGAATCGAACCCAGCGCCACCTTCCTAGCCCTCATACCTCCTTTTTTGACAAAAGGAAAAGACAACTTTTTTTTTTTTTTTTTGGGTCCGGTTGTGGGACCTGAACTCTGGGCCTGGGCGCTGTCCCTCAGCTCTTCAGCTCAAGGCTAGCGCTCTACCACTTGAGTCAGAGCACCACTTCCAGCTTTTTTCTTTTTGCTTATGTGGTGCTGAGGAATTGAACCCAGGGCCTCATGCATGCAAGGGTTCTACCACTGAGCCACCTTCCCAGCCCCGAAAAGACAACTTTTAAAAGTGAAAACTAAACATTTCTTGAATGAGCTATACTGGGAAATGATTGGAACTGGCCTGGTGCTATCTTTTGTTCATTACCTCCATGGCAGCTAATTTGGGTTTGCACAGAAAATGGCTGCTGAGTGAATGGAGTTTGAGGGAAATGCAGGGGAGGCTGCTCAGCGTAAGCACGGAGCACACATGGCGTGAGCAAACTCAGGATCACGGACAGCACGCTAGGCGTGAACACGAGGCATGCCTGGTGTATAAGCACACTCAGCAGGAGCATGGGGCACGCTGGACATGGTCGACAGCCCTGACAGAGTACACTGGGACAGCTGGATTCTCCATTCACACGCCGGCCGGCTACAGTGGTGTTTCATGGCCCGAAGTGTCCCCTCCAGGACTGTTATGTTCATGTTCCTTCCAGGTAGGGCTTTTGTTCCCTTTTGTTCTCAACCTCTGTTTCCCAAACACCCCGCGAGGACTTTCGTCACTATTCTGTTTTCCAGACATTCTTGCGTGGGGGCGGGTGCTGTTGATGGGGGTGGATGTTGAAATGTGATTATTTGTGGAGGGAGGGGCAGTCTTCAGAATTCAGCCTCCAAAATGGCTGCTTAAGGTCCACAGTCCAAAATTAGAAAGTTGGCGGGTAGTTCTCTTTCAACCTATGGTGTTCTAATTTGGGAAGGATGTTAAGTATCTTCCAACTCAATTCTAGATCCTAGAACTCACAACATTAGAGCTATTGAACTCCAGGGCTCTTAGAAATTCCTTGCTGCCTTTAAAGGAGCATCTTTCTTCCTGCAATCCATCAAGACCCAGGGTTAGGACACAGATGTGCTGGAGTAAAACACCTGGGACTGTGAGTGGGGCCCTCTCTCTTCACGTGCTATTGTATGCACTGGTCCTCTCTGTGTGTCTCTGTATCTCACACGCACAACACTACGTTATAAACTCAGAGCCAAATGTGGTAGCAGTGCAGACAATGTGGCCGTGCCTGGCTGCCCCTCAGGCCACCTACCTGAAGTTGCCTGGACTGTGCACGTCTGTCTTAATGGAGTTGAGTGCATACTCCGGCCGGTAGGTGCCACACCACACCTAGAGATCGGAGTAGACAAAGCAAAGCAATGTGCTCAGGGCAGGTTGGAGGAAAAGCACAATTAAAGTGGAATTCTGCATTCTTCAGTAACATTTGATAAATGGCAGCCAGGACATGATCACGATCATAGATGAGGTCTGACCAGTCAACCCCAAGGTCAACCCCAAGGTCCTGTCACCACTGGGGGAAACAAGGCAACATGCACGCAGCACAGAAAGTTCTGTGAAATTACACATGCTTTGCATCATACTCAATCAAGAAAGATGCAGTACCTGGGCGAAGTTCAGGAAGAACAGTTGTTTGTGATTAAGGTCAAGCCCAGGAAGGAGTTTCTCTTCGCCGTTCTTTTTAACGTAATTCTGATAGGCCTGGAAGCAGAAGGGTGGTTATATTGCCTGGATGGTCACAATAAACCTACTCAGAATGGCGTGGACTCAAGTAATTAGTCTTCCACATCAAAATACTGTTCACTTATACCATTTTGTGGGTTTATTTACCAATACGCCGCAAAGAACATGACACTGGTTTACAAGTACGAGAGCCTGGCACGTGCCAGGTGACAACAGTGGTGTTTACATGAATGGGTGACTTAGACCTGCTGCCAGTGGCTTACATAAATGTCGGCTCCAGCTAGATGGGGACATGCGGCCGGCTGCTGAGGTGGCCATTTGTCACGGCTATATTTAGCGTAGTTACTACTCTGCACAAAATAAACTCTCCCAGATTTAGCCTAAGTGACTCTTGCCAAAAGTCAAGAGATCCTTAGTGTCCCAGGTGTCCAAGGGGAAGGGCCAGTGCCCCCGAAGTTGGGGCAAAGAAACCAGATCGCAGTGACATTAGGAGGAAGGAATTAGGCCACTTGAATGACAGAGAGGGTTCTCAGTTCTTAAGGGTTTACACACCACTACTAAAAATTGCAACTGTCCTTCATTCCTGTACCAAACACATACACTCTCACAATTTCTCTTTCACATACATTTGTATGTTGATCACCTTAGTGTACAAAAATATTTTTTTTTTTTTGGGTCCGGTCATGGGGCCTGAACTCTGGGCCTGGGCGCTGTCCCTCAGCTCTTCAGCTCAAGGCTAACGCTCTACCACTTGAACCACAGCACCACTTCCAGCTTTTTTCTTTTTGCTTATGTGGTGCTGAGGAATCGAACCCAGGGCCTCGAGCATGCAAGGCAAGCGCTCTACCACTGAGCCACCTCCCCAGCCCCAGTGTACGAAAATATTTAAAGAGATTGACCCCAGATGCTCTGTCCAGTTCTTATAAAGGAAGGGATCCCACTGGGGAGAGAGAGGGGTGTCTCCTTTCTTTGCCTCCTCTGCATGGATCTGCAGAGCATCTGCAGGGTGAACACACAGAATCCTACCTCGGGATCCTACCAGCTCACTGCTGTGAACTTTTTCAGGCCCCAGTGAAAGGATGGGAAACTCGGTGAGAGCCAGGAGGAGTGAGTCTGCTTCAGGAGAAGCAGACGGCCAGGGCAACAGAGAGGGAACCAGAGAGGAGACATCTCAAAGAAGGAGGGCCTCACAGAGCGGAGACGGCTCTCATGATGCTCAGCTTCCCAGCCACGAGGGGATGGGAGGCAGACACTGCTGGTGAGGACTCCACCCAGGGGTCGGGAGATCCCAGTGCCTGCCCCTCACTGGGACACTGAGGTGTAGTCAAAGCAACACGGCCATCATTACTGTCAGAATAAAACGGCACCACTCACCCTGTACGCCTGGCCCAGGCCTCCGTTATCTGCGATGTTTTCCCCCAGTGTGTTAAGTCCATTGAGCTGTTTAGAAAAGATCCTTTGTTAGGACTGCTGAGAAAAGCCAAGACTTCTCCTAGGACTGACCATATCTGAGAGCTTTCTGGACAGTTCTGAGGACGTACGTGCTGCCCGCCCGCCAGGTCCCAGGTGAAGTTCCCGTACTGGTACACCATGCACTGCGACTGTGCCTTGAAGTTGTCGGCTGACTGCTGTGTCCACCAATCCACGAGGTCTCCATCCTTGTTAAAGTTTCGGCCTGTGAGGTGTTTATTTAATGAGGGAGATGCGTTATAGCAAGAATGACAGTATCTCCTGTCCTAGTTTGGTTTTGTTCTTTAATGCCCGTAAATGTAAAATCACAGACAAAAGTTAACCTGCACGGCTGCATTCAAAATTCTAATGTCATAACAAGGACACAGATGCACAGATGACCTGCGTGTCCCCAGGAATCTTTAGTTTCAAATGACAGGGGTGGAAGACTACTATGTGGAGAAGAGCAAACGGGGCAGAGGATGGGAGAAACTGCTGGCTTCCTCATCTGGGGAAGGCCCACCTGGTAAACAGTCCTCATCTGTTTAATTTGGCATTCTGGAACGTTCAGAAGGTCAGCATTGTTACTCTGGGCTTCCTATTCCTCCAGCCCCTGGGAGCAACTGCTCAGGGCTGTATCTTTCTACTTGAAATACTCCCCCACCCCCTTCCTGGAACTTTTTTGCCAAATGATGCTGTTTTTCCTCTTTTTGACTTCCGGTATCTGAGCATTTACTTGTACTGTTTAATGTGAACCATGAAGTAAGGGAGCTGCCAGCCACACACACACACTGGTCCCCTGCTCCCTACGTATGAAGCGATGGAGTTTTGTATAGACAATTGTAACTCTGGATTTTAATTTCTTCATCGGTAGTGCTGAGGTTTGACCTCAGGGTCCTTCTGCTTTGCATGGGAGCTGGTGCTCTGCCACTTGGGCCATGCCTCCAGCCTGTATTTTGCTATTTATTTTAAATACAGAGTCTCTTAGGCTTTGGCTGGCTTTGAGCCATGTTTTTCTGGACCTCAGACTTCTGAGTTGCTACAATTTCAGGTGTGAAGCTACCAGCTCCAGGTGATACACTGCTCATTCCTAGAGGTCAAATCCCAAAGGAAATATCCCTGGCACTTACCATTGTCATCAAAGCCATGGGTGATTTCGTGTCCGATGACCATACCGATGCCCCCGTAGTTGAGGGAGTTGGACTGCTGGGCGCTGAAGAAGGGTGGCTGCAGGATGCCAGCTGGGAAGACTGCGGGAAAGACGGGGCGGGAGATGAGCCCTGTGTACTCTACCGCTGGCAGCAGGCCTACAGTGGGCTTCTTGCTTGCCCACCTGTTTTCCTCCGTGCCAGTGGCACTGGGGCACATACAGGACGGTGTGGTGGGAACTGGAATCATATGGCAAGAACCAGGATGGTGTGGCGTGAACCGGGACAAGCCCTTCCACATCAAGGCAGCCAATCTACCGCCCAGGACTGATGTGATCATCTGATTTACTCACCTGATCCACTACCTGAGCTCTTTTAAGATTGATTTTTGTAGGGAAGAGTTTGGAGCAAGGATGATTTATTCCTGACCTTCACAAAGCCCTTTCCCCGTGGTATATATGTGGGAGACATGGTTATTCAATAGTTCAAATATTCATTTTAATTGTCTAAGACTTTAACCTTTTCTAATATGATCTCAACTAATGCTGCCCCGCATTCCATGCTTCCCGCCCACAGGTTATTCTGAGCTCACTGTCTTCAAGGCACCTGGGACTACCTCACACTCTGTGCCTTTTGTTGGTTATGGTTGGATTTCTTCCTTGTCCAATCTTCTCCTGCCCACCTCAGCACCTCAAATACATATCCCATTGGGAGCCGAGGCTTGAGTGTCTTTGTTGGCTGGGACACTGGAGCTCCTCCTTGTCTCCGGAGCCTGAAGCCACAGCAGTGGCTGACCTGAATTGTGAGCGGTGATGGGATGGTTCATCGGGAGAAGCGAATGGGTGGAAAATCCTAACAAGTGCAGCCCAGCAGCTGGCAGATCTTGGCTTGGGGAGGTCCATCCCTGGCCCGCGCCGACCACTGGCGCTCTGCGTGCAGGTGTGGGAGCACGGCGCTTCTTCCCCTCCGGCCTCCCAAGGCAGCTGGCAGGACTTAGGCGTGGACAGTATGCCTCTTTGCTGTGTCTGGGGGCCTAGTGTCTTTTGCTGAGTGTGGGACATGAGGCCCTTCCTGCTTCCTTTTGCCTGCATCTTCATGACACTCTGACCTCTGCCATCTTGGCTCCACCTCCTTTTGGTCTGGAGAATGACCTAGTCCTCTACCTTCCCTCCTCACTTCCTGGCTCACCCATCATGCATCATGCATCTACCCTTCGTGTAAGCCACAGTCACATGACAGTGTCTCTCTGGTTGGGACCCCTCCTCATCCATGGGGACGCTGGCTACCTCTGCTCTCCAGCTCACTCAGCCCTTTACCCCAGCCTTGCAATCTTGCCCTCCTCTCTGCCTCCCGATGCTTCCTAGCAACATGGATGTGCCTTTCTTCTCTTCCTTTGGGGTGTATTTAATTAAAACAACAACAGTAATAATACTCACTGTTGGTCTGGGACAACAATGTATAGCATGATTAATCTCTAACCTTACAAATGAATGCTTACAGCTCTGTAATTCTGTATTCGTGCTTGCAAATTCTAGGCTCCACGAAGGCTCTGACTCATTGTGTTTTGTCATTAGGAAAAGAGCCTTCAGTGGGAACACATTTTTCCATGCAAACCCCAGGGCTGGTGTTGTGCAAGATAGCAGGAATTCACATGAAAGGCCCTGACCTTCAGAAATTTAAGATATTGAAAAAAAAAATAAAACACCCGTAAGATCTAAGTAGCACAGAGTACTAAATGTTTTTTGTGTGGACTAAATATGACCTAACCTCCTGCTCTTATTTTTCAGGGATAAATATTATTTTTACAGAAGGACTTTTAAAAAACAGGAAAGTTGCCTTCATGTTCAAATGACAAAATAATAATAAAAAGCCCTTTGTCCCTGGGGGGTTCTGATGAAAGTTGGATCTTGCATGTTTCTGCCAGAGCTAAAGATGCCAAGAAGTTATTTTTAGCCGGAGGTATGAGAGTGGTGTGCAGTACTTTATTAACTTAAAGTGAGCGCTATCTCCCACACTCTGCACTCTGATTAAAATCCACCCATTATATAAAATGCTCTTATGAAATGTGCTATCAAGACTAAACATTAACTATAAAGAGCCTGCTGATTTAATTACAGCCTGGCATGCCACTCTGCGAACAAGTGATAAGATTTTTATGGCTTGTATTAAATACTAGTCTTTAAGTTCAACTTTGCAGATTATGATTTTACCTTTGACTCTGTCGGCTAAGCTTGGGTCATGATAATCTCCCTATTCGCCTTATTGCTGCTGTTATCAGCTTTGCAACTGCTGTTTGTAGCCAACTGCCTTAGCTGTGCTTTCTTTCAGTACTGGGATTTGAACTCAGGTTTTCTCTCTTGCTGGGCAGAACAATGAATCAAATGAGGCCAGGCGCCAGTGGCCTACGCTTGCAATCCTATTGAGGAGGCTGAGATCTGGGGATCACCCAAGCAGAAAAGTCCCTGAGAGACTCTGATCTACAATTAACCACTCAAAAACCAGAAGACGCACCATGGCTGAAAGTGGTAGAGTGCTAGCCTTGAGCAAAAGAGCTCAGAGACAGTACCCAGGCCCTGAGTTCAAGCCCCACGGCTTGAACAACAAAAGTCAAATGAGTAAGTGCTTCGACTTGAGGCATTTTGTGTCCCTGTGTGTAAGTGGGGTTGTGTGTATGCCGCACGCTTTTCTATATTCTTTCGCACTTTGTAATGGATCTCCCGCCAAACCCACCAAGGCTGTGATTAGGGAGGTGCACATGCTTGCATAAGCTCTGGTGCTTGTTCTGCAGGCATGGAGGGGTGGGTGGTCTCATGGGTTTTGGTCCACACCACCCCCCTTTGAAGACTTAAATGAGCTTTAAGAGAGGCCACCCTCATGCAGAGATCCTGGTGAACTGCGTACCTTGGTGTGACTGCGGCAGGAGCTGGGTGTGGCCTGACACACTGTGAAGATCAGAAGGGTCTTCTGGGTTGAGGATGTGACTCAGTGACAGAGTGCATGCTTAATGCATGTGAGCCCCGGGCTCAGGACTCATAGAAGCACATTAAGGAGGAGCAGCGGGGGAGACAAAGAGAAAGGGGGGGAGCAGAGGAGAGGAGACAGAGATCTCTCTAGAGTGATGAAGCCCCAGAGAGAAAGACATTATGGGACAGGCTACTCTGGTCCTTGAGGGACACCACCTGGGCCTGGTGACACAGGTTGCATTGTTACCACTAACATGGCGAGGCCCGAGTTCAAAGAATCCAGAAAGCAGGGCAGCCTAGACTCTGAACTTGTTTTAACATAGGTGTGCATGCCTTGTTCCTCATCTCTGTGCTATGTGACCATAACCTCCTCTGGCTATGTAGTTTCTTATTTTCCTATCATGTACTGGAGTAAATTCCAGATGGATTCAAGATTTACTCTAAAAACAGAAACCATAAAAATAGCAGAAGTCTTTCCATTTCCTAACAAATGGGGCAATGTCATTCTTTCTGATGGAGGCATAGAATTCCATTATATATATATCTCACATTTTCTTGATCCATCCATCTACTGAGGGACATCTGGGTTGGTTCCATATCTTAGCTATGGTAAACAATGTTGCAATAAACATAGTGGTGCTGGTAGCTTTAGTATGGCCTTGTTTGTGATCATTTGGGTAAATGCCCAAAAGTGGGATTGCTGGGTCACAGGGGAGCTCTATGTGGAGTCTTTTGAGGAACCTCCATACTACTTTCCAAAGTGGTTGAACAAGTTTACACTCCCACCAACAATGCAGTAGGGTTCCCTTCTGTCCACATCCCCTCCAGCATCTGTTGTTATTAGAGTTCTTGATTATAGCCATTCTAACTGGGGTGAGGTGGAATCTCAATGTTGTTTTGATTTGCATTTCTTTTACGGCTAGAGCATTTCTTCATGTGTCTATTGGCCATTCTTATTTCCTCTTCAGAGAAGTTTCTCTTTAAGTCTTTAGTCCACTTATTAATTGGGTGGTTGATTTTGAAGATTTGTTGTTGGAAGATTTAATTTTTTGAGTTCTAAGTATATTTTATTTATTTATTTATTTAGGTTGTGGGGCTTGAACTCTGGAACTGGGCGCTGTTCCTCGTTCTTCAGCTCAATGCTAGTGTTCTACCACTTGAGCCACAGCGCCACTTCCTCTAAGTATATTTTAGATATGAGGCCCTTGTCTGTTGTATAACTAGTGAAGATCTTCTTCTAGTCCTTGGGCTTTCTATTGATCTTGCTAGCTATGTCCTTTGCCATGCAGAAGCTCTGCAGTTTCGTGTAATCCCATTTGTCCAACCTTTCTTTGATTTGTTGTGTTTCTGAGTCTTTATCAAGAAAATTTTGGCCTGTGCCAAGGAGCGTTAGAGTTTCTCCTATTCCTTCCTGTAATGTTTTCAGGGTGTCCACTTGACTTCGATATCTTTGATCTATTTGGAGTTGATTCTGGTACAGGATGATATATAAGTATCCAGCTTTAGTTTTCTACAGGTGTTTAACCAATTTTGCCAGCACCATTTACTGAAGAGGCTGTCTTTCTTCCATTCTGTTTTTAACTCCCTTAGCAAAGATTAGGTGGCTATAGGTCTATAAGTTCATTTCTGGGACTTCAGTTCTATTCCATTGGTCCTTAGGTCTGTTCATATGACAGTACCAAGCTTTTATGATTGCTATGGCTTTGTAGTAGAGTCTGAAATTTGGTATTGATATTCCTCCAGCACTGTTCTTTCTGCTAAGGATTGTTTTTGCTATTTGGGGTGTTTTATTGTTCCATATGAATTTTTAGATTGCTTCTTCGATTCCATTAAAGAATGAAACTGGGATATTGATAGGTAATGCACTGAATTTGTAGATAGCTTTTGGCAGTATTGCCATTTTTATGATGTTAATCCTCCCAATCAAGGAGCCTGAGAGGTTTTTCCACTTTCTTAGTTCTGCTTTAATTTCCTTTTTCAGGTTTTTAAAGTTTATATCATAGAGGTCTTTCACTTCTTTAGTTAACTCATAGTTTTTTTTAAAAAAATTTTTGTGGGGTTATTACAAAAGGAGTTGCTTTCCTGATTTCAGCCATGCTCTTCTCATTATTGGCATACAGAAAAGCCTTTGATTTTTGAGGGTTAATTTTATACCCTGCTACTTTGCCAAAGTTTTGGATCAGCTCCAGTAACTTGGGATTGTATTTATAATGTACTATGTGATTTTTTTTTTGTTTCTTTTGTATGTTCTTCCCCCATGGTATAACCCCTGTTTTCACTAAATTTGATTCCAGTGTCCTGCATCTTGTATATACATTTTTCTAATTTGGGGAGGGGAAAGGAAGTAACAAAATGCTGAAATAAGGATACAGGCTGATCCATTGTAACAATAAGATGTACAAGACACTATGTTGAAAAGGAACTTTACAACTTGGGGGGGAAGGATTTGGGGAGGTGGAGAGGAAAGGGATGGTAGAGGAAAAACAAAGTAATGGTAACAATGCTCCATAGGAAATGTACTCATTACCTTACTCATGTAACTGTAACCTCTCTCTACAGTATCTTTACAATAAAAATATATATTAAAAATAGCAGAAGAAAACAGATAACTTCTTAACCTCCTTCCTTAAACTGAGAAACAAAAGGAGTTCATCATTTTAAAATAAAAGATAAACTTCTTTCAACTTTTTAAAAATCCATGGTAAATATCTCGAAGGATATTTTGTAATTTCTAATCAAATTCATAGCATATTAAAAATTGAGTCTGAGGATGTTGTTCAGAATGCTGGGATTCCGTTCCTGTTGTAGGCTAGTCTTAACTTGGATATGTAGGGTGGTCTGCTTCCTCACAGAAGCCCACAGCTGCTTGCTGAGGAGAGCTCTGTGGAGATGGGGCCACGTGGGAACTTTCCTCACACACATATGTGTGTGTGTGTGTGTGTGAATGTATATATGTGTGTGTGTGTGTGTATATATATATATAGATATATATATAAAGTCAAAAGTGCTTTTCACACAATTTCACATACAAACATATACATATATATGTATATATACATATTTTCTTTTTTAATCAAGTGATTTTCACACAGCTTCACACACATATAAATAGTGTATATGTGTGTGTGTGTGTGTGAGTGTGTGTATGTTTTCTCTTTTAATCAAAAGTGATTTTCACACAGTTTCACAGAGCTCAACATGATACACTGACATAATTTCTCCAGAGCCATCACACAGAATTCCTAAAGAACAGAATCTGCACAAAGTTGACTCTCGGTACTGATACAGAGTGCTGATACTGACTCTGAATCTCAGCATGACTTTATAGAGATTTACTGAGCAACAACTTTGAGATAGTACTTACAAACCAGAAGGCCATTTTAGCTAAATATTGGAATATTGTCAATGAAACAAAACCACTTAATCCAATGTATACTGATTTATGTTTTCCTGTCTAGAAGAAAGAAGTTCATGGATATATTCTACTTTTAAGAAGTGTATCCAACCAATGAGCAACTTGGCCTTGGCTCTAGTCCTGGATGTGTATTATAAATGAGTGGTGGAAAGCATTATGGGTTGGGAGTGACAGAAATAATGAAAGGATTACTTAGGAGGACACCTTACCTATCTGATTTCTGCCTGAAGAATAAAAGGCGTTGACCACGGCGGCTCCGCTGATCCACCTGAGGAGAGAAAAAGAACATAGAAAAGTCATCACAGCGCCTGATCCAATCTGCTCACCAGAACCGTCACCTTCTTCCTAGACACATGTTAGCTCTGTTCAAAGTAGGATCAACAAGTTAAAATTAGCTTGCTAGGTGGAAGCTCATGTGAAAATGTTTCTATTGCTGCAAAAAAAAAAATCAGTGCATATCTAGGTCTGCCATCTGCTACCTCATTTGCATGAATTTTCAGGGAGGCATATGACAGTGTGGAAGATATTACAGTGTACCTTTTCAGGAACTGCAGTGGGTTAAGATCATAATGAAATGTGGTTTAGCCCTAACATGAAATAACTAGGCCAACGATCCTGGAGAAGTTGAAAAAATGTTAAAGAATAGGTCATTAAAATATCTGGCTCAAATACCTCTATTTTTTTTTTTTTGTTAAATTCTACACTTTGAAAGAAACACTTGGGAAATAAAGAGGGATCTCAGGTAGGAACAATTATTGATACTGGTCTTTAAAACTATTTTTCCAAAATGCAGCATTCTAGCACTTGAGCAAAGGGGCATCTTTGTATGATTCACAAGTGAATTTCAGGTGGTTCTTAATTTATCTGTCAGTTTGTGCCATTTAGGCTCTGTAGAGATCTAATAGAAAACAGATCCTGACTACAGGAGGGTCTAGTTTAGTTGAGGAAAGGAGAAAGACACGTAAATAACTAGAATGCAACACTGAATGAAAAAAAACAAACAGAAGCAGAAACAAAGCAAGTCGCAGGTGGTCACGTAAGAGGCACAGGGCTGGACCCACAGTTCTCAGGTCTTTCTGTGCGGGTGTTAGGAAAGATGGAGATAAACAGTCAGGTGCTGCACACTGGTGAAGCAAAAGGAATTTCTTCATCTTAACAGACTTCCACATGTGTACTGCTGGAAGAAAATGGACATGGCTTTGTGTCAGAGGCTGTCTTCAGTGTCAGTGCACCGCATGCACATAGAGAACCATCTGCTGCTACCCAGTGGGGTCATGCCTGTCACTTAGGTTTACAGCCAGAGCGTGGAGTGTTATTTCCCTTGCAGAGCACAGGAGCACACCCCACGGAGTGCAGCCAGAGCTGTTCCTAGACCTGCAATGCGCGTGAGCGGGACAGAGTTAGCCGCCAACTCAGCCTGACGGACACACACACACACACACACACACACACACACACACACACACACACACACACACACACACACACACACACACACACACACACACACACACGGCCAGTGACTGCTTGGGAAATCAGACGGAAGTACGATTCTTATCTCTTAATGAATGGCAAAAGCCACGAGCTCAAGAACCTTCTGGTACCTTACAAGTGCATGCCTTGTCTCCAGGACAGGAGGCAGACTTCTCAGAAGGCACGGGACAGGGTTGGTTGGTTAGTTCTTTTCAACAGTCAACGTCTCTGTGAACTTTGGTTAGTCGGTAAGTGTGGCTGGAGCTGAGGTGGTTCCCCGGCCTGTGCCTCTCCGCAAGCAAGTGCTTTCATTCAGTCACAGTAAAACATTCACATCCCCGGGTGATGGGCATACCAACCTCCCTAACCAGCGCAGCAGAGTCATTAATATTGTGGCATTTCTTGCAAGTTGATGACTACAAGAATAAAATGTGTTTATTTTAATTAAACCCCATACTGCCCACTCAGCTAGTAGTGACTCACAGGATAAACAAGGACTCTACGACTTGGAAACCCAACTGATGTGGGATCAGAAACCATGTGGAATGAGCGGATTCCGCTCTCTTGATAAACAAATACTGCAGGAAGGAAATGAAGGTGGGAGACAGGGTTGGGGAGAGTAACAGGCAAGGGATCTGTCTGCGTATTTTCACAGAAGTGCTCTGACCCAGGTTCAAGCACACATCAGGCTGCTGCAAAGAGGGCCGGACTGCCACCACGCTCTTCCACTCCCAAGGAAACACTCACTGTTCCTTGCGTGGTTTGAGAACAGTATTTTTGGTGTGTCCCTAACACCTTCAGAGCAGTTGTGGCAGTAAAACTCATTTCTGAGCCACTTGTAATTGTTAAAATTGGAGTCATGATCAAAGTTAAGGCCTTTCCAAGTCTCCATGGTTCAATTTCTCAGTGACAGAATTCTAATTTAGGTGGTGACCTCTGCGTGGACATTTATGTATAACTACAAATGACAGCTGAAAATTGTCTGGCTTTGAACTTGTCAAAATCTTAATAATGAACTAGAAAAAGTGTCCATTCAAATTGTTTTCAAATTAACTCTGATTACAGGAAAGTCATCCATCCACCATAGGTGGATGAAGCTCACATTTTACCATCTCATGTTGACTGTCTTGGTAAAAATAAGTGTCACACTTTTTGTTGTACTGCTTTTGCGTCCTCTTGTTGTGTTTACTTTGAGGCGTTTAAGACTGCATGTGATTAATGGTAGAGACTTCCCAGCTGGGAGAACTTTACATATTAAAATGTCCACTGTGAATTATGCCTTCAAGAAAATAGGTGGCTATTTATAACCAGAGAACACCCAAATAAAATTAGAATTATGGTGGCTTGTGCAGCGCCTGCCTTTTTTCCATCCCAGCCTCACATCCCCCAGCAGTTTGTCCTGACAATGAGCAGAACTTAACATACTGTGATCAGATGATTAGATTGCTGCAGCCTAGATCAGGCTGTGATAAGATCAGCTCCAGCCCCTAGTCGAATGCCAGTGGTCAGTCGTGAAACGCCTCACTCTGGTCATATAAAAGCGAAATCTACAGGGCAAAGCCAAGTCTTTCTTCTCCAGTTAAAACAGTTACGTGATTAGAGCTGCCAGTTCTGTTGATGGACACGGGTCTCCACGCTCGCAGACAGTTCATATAAGTGAAGCCCAAATGTGAGCCTGGGGTGCTCAGGGAGGAGAGAACCCACCCAAGGGGGAGGAACGGCAAGCTGGAGTGACCCTGCCCCGGATGAGGACACTGCTTCCTGAACAGGCTCTGATGCAGCAGGCCAGAGCCCGGGAGACTCTCCCAAGCAGCTGTGTGTGCATGCGGGTCCGTGCAAGTATGCATGTTCATGTGTACGTGCACATGTGCTGTCTGTGTAAATGCATGTGCACACGTGTGCATATGTGACGTAGAGGATGGATGGGGATGCAGGGAGGAAGAACCTTAGTGCTTACTTCTGACATGTAATGTTGCCAGCTAAGCTTATGCTCGTTGTGGCACTGAGGGACCCGGCGCTCCCTTCCATCTCAGACATTTCGTTGACAGCAGCAAGGAGGAGCAGGCACTAGCATCCAGAGAGCTGCAGGCCTCTCCCCCCACCTGCCATCCCAGCACCTGGTCATTCCGACACCATGGAGACCAGAACACAGCCCGCCTGGCAGACACACATGGAACATGACACACACAGTGCAGCCGGCTAAGCCAAAAGCAGACGCCACGCTCTGCCCTCTTATGTGTTACTCAGGCCGGGCTCAGCAGAGCTGAAGGATGTCATTAAGCTGCGTTGAGAGTGTCGCCGGCGTGGGCCTGCTCCCCACAGCTCAGTGAGGCCAGGACGGGGCAACCCACACTCCTTTCCACCAACACCAACAGAAAGCTGCTGTTCGGGTGCATGGGTGGTGATGCGGTTCTGGTCTTGGGGGGCACACTCTTGTGAGTCTGAGGACGTGTGTGCACACATGAGCGGCAGGTCAAATGCAGAGAAGTTTCCAGTTTTAGGAACTTGGAGGTGGGTGGGCCACTTGGATCAGAATTTTCTCTTGGTGATTTTTCTTGTGTCTAAAGTAACCCTGGGCCTTCCTTCTAGGACAGAATGAAAACCCTTGATGCTGCCAGATGCCTCAGTGCCCGCCTGAGCTGATGGCCTGCCTTGGGCACTGGACCCAACCACACAGCCAGGGCCTAATTATATCCCTAGGGTTTAGAACAGAGTTGGGACAGAACAGACATTTGGGCCTTGGCATACCCAGGGTCCTCCATGCCCGGTGAGCTGACCTAACTCACCCTGCTGCTGCGTGTGGTGTGTGTGTGTGTGTGTGTGTGTGTGTGTGTGTGTGTGCTTCCCTTCAGAACAGAGGGCAGGAGTCAGCACAGCCAGACAGGATCGGAGTAATCCTGAAAAGTCCTCCCAACCTTAATGGAATTCCAAGAGCTTTGGATTACACTGGTGGAGGATGGAATAGGTTATAAAAAAAAATAAAAGTATAAGGAAGAGTGATGAGCCGGCTGAGAGTGGCTCATGCCTGTAATCCTAGCTACTCAGGAGGCTGAGATAGGAGGATTTGGTTTGAAGCCAGCCAGGGCAAGAACATCTCTTATCTCTAATTAACTGGCAAAAAGCTGAAAATGATGATGTGATTCAAGTGGTAGAGTAATAGTCTTGAGAACAGAAAAAGCTAGGGGGCAGTGCCCAGGTCCTGAGTTCAAGCCCCAGGACTGGCACCAAAAAAAAAAAAACCAAACAAGCAAAACCAAAGCCTGAAAGAAACAAAGAGATGAATTTGATCAGCTATGTGCATATATGGCAGTATCACAATGAAATTCCTCTGCACAATAATTGTGTGCTCATAAAGACAGACAGACAGACAGACAACCTGCTTAAAACTCGAGCCCCGGTTATCCAGCTCCCTCCCACCCCGCCACAGGCAAAACAGAGCAAAGGCCTTCTCGGGCGCTCACCAAAAAGTAGAAATTTTTTTGTAGACAAAATGCATTTTGCGTACAGTCCAAAGACACGTTGGAAAGAGTTGTTGGCTGAATGGGAGGATGAGAGACGGGGCGACGTGTGGGCACGTGTCACCCTTGCCTTGTCCTGCGTGCTCTGCTCTTGGGCCGTCTCTGGCCTTGAGCCACCCCCCACCGGCTCGGTCCCTTTTCCCAGTGAATTTCATTGGAGCGACGTTTATGGGGATTGCTTTTTCTGGGGTCTCAAAGTTCTCACACCCTGACCCCCTTCCTCCTAGATTCTAGCCTGGCTCCTCCTTGCTCACCAGGGCTCTTCTTGGTTGATGTGGTGTGGGGGGAGGGAACTGGCTCTCATCACAGCCTGTGATGGGAGGAATGTGGGTGCTGCGCTCCCAGGATGGCTGCGCACTCCTTAATCAGGAGGCCACGTGCTCGGCAGAGGCCACCACGACATGCAGTCACAGAGAATCGGGGCATCAGAGGCAGCTGGCAGGATGAACTGATAAACCAAAACCTGCCTGGCTGTGAAAGGACTGGACAGTCACACACTCACAGAGAGGAGGTCCACCGATCCGAAAGCCCTCTAGGCCCCCATGTAACCCCAAGCCAGGCTCTGAATCAGACGTCAAGATGGTGGATACGCGCTCAGCTACTGTCTTCCTCTGCTCGCCTTCTGCCATGTTTCTCTTCTAATGAACTTTCCTGTTGCCAGTACTGTGTTCACGTCTCTCCTGAGTTCCTCTCTCACCAGTTACGAAGACCAAGGTTGTTGGGCTGCCTTGAACTTCTAGTGAGGATGGGGTGGTGGGCGGAACAGGGCCCTTGCGGGTCCTGGACGTGTAGGGAACCCGTTTCCCCACAGGGCGCCAGCGCTGTGCCTGCCTGCCATTCAGGAAGAGGCACAGAGTCCCCGTCTCGGGACATCGCCTTTCCTGAGCTCCACTGACTGTGGTTGCTATGTCCAGCCCGTCCAGTATAGAAGAACAGCCAGAACCCTACAGCCTCCATGCCTATGTCGTGTGGAGCAAATCCTCGGCTCACCTCATTACTGCAGCCTAAATGCTGACCTGGTTCCAGAGATGGAATGTTGTACGAGTAAGTGGTTCTTTTTTTTTTTTTGGTGGTAGTAGGGGTGTTCCAGTCGTGAGGTCTGAACTCTGGGCCTGGGCGCTGTCCCTCAGCTCTTCAGCTCAAGGCTAGCGCTCTACCACTTGAGCCATAGCGCCACTTCTGGCTTTTTTCTTTTTTGCTTATGTGGTGCTGAGGAATCGAACCCAGGGCCTCAGGCATGCAAGGCAAGCGCTCTACCACTGAGCCACCTTCCCAGGCCCTAGAAGTTCAGTTTTTAAGTGCTATGTTAGCACTGTGAGGCTCTATCGCCTCAATCCACCAACTCCACTCACGGGGGCCACAGTTTGCTTCCGGAAAGTTTTGCCCCGAAAAGCCAATAGGGTAAGGTGAAATCTAGAAACAATAAAAAGGATTCCTCTTGCTTTATTCCGGAGCTTCGAGGTTTATTTTTCTGTTTTGAGCTCTGAATAATCATCTTGCTAGAAGTTAATAATGTTAGATATATTACTAATGATTATTTTTAGCTATATCACTAAGTAATTTTGCCAGTGGGCATTGTATTGTCAGTTCAGCACCATTTCTATTTGACAACACGCATGCTGGAAATTCCTTACGAATCAGCACTGAAGATGTTTCCTTTGAGATAACTTACAAACACCCACTGGAAGCCACATGAGCAGCCTTGGGCTGCTGGCTCATCAGGTCAAAGGTTATACAAATGATTAATTGGGACAGTCACATGCAGCCAGCCTGAGTTCCTTAGTTTTGTTCTTTTAAACTTGTTAAACTTGTTAAGCAAAGATAGGGCTGGGGTAAGGGGTTAGCTCCAGCCATGATGGTTCCATGCCACCAGCAACCATGTGTCCATTAGTGCAGGGGAAGCTGGGTCCGCATCTTTACCAACTGGCCGCTCTCCTGTCAAGTCCTCCCACGAGCAGAAAGCTCACCCATGTTCACGGGGATGGGCCTCCCCTTCCCCGATTCCCGGAGGGTGGGTCCCAGCCAGCCACTGTGCTGACCGGAGCCATGGGGCAGACACAGGGGAGAGGCTGTGAGCCACGGGGCAGAAGAGTGAACATGCATCTCCAGTCAAAGCCCTCTGGGGTTTCTGTCAGGTCCACAAGGAAGACGAGACAGAGGCCAAAAAACAACAGAGGAAGGCTTTCCCTGTCTGTCTGGAGCTCTGGGCTGTGGTGGGCTTCTGACAAATTCTGGATGGAGGGTCTTGGATCTATTTGTGAAACGTTCATACTTGACAAAACTAGAAGACAGATCCATGGACAGGCTTCCGATCAGCAAATGACATGACTCCATCTACATTTGTAAAACCTCTCCAGTCATGGAAGGATCAGCTCAAGATGTGAGCGGGCTGGGATAAGAGTCAGGCAAAAACTGGAATAACTCTGAGTGATGGAAGCAACGTGCTCATCAAGGAAGTTACAATGGGGCTGGTGACATGGAGATGTTTCCCATGCCAGTGTGGTATTTGATTAGCAGCGGGTAGATACAGCCCTGTCTTTGGACTGAGATTTGGAGTCAGGAGTGTAGACAGATGGGGCAGCATGGGGTGGAGGATGAACGCCTCGTTTCTTTTGCTTAGCAGCAGTAAAAGGGAGGTTTTTAGAAAACAGATATAAGGATAAGGGACTATTAATTTTTGCATACATGGAGAATTCTGTGTCTGTGGGTCAGTGCTGGACACTTTGGTCTGGAGCACAGAGAGTGGATCAGGGCCCCAAACACAACATTTTGCTGCAATATGGGAGGATTTCCCGGGAGCCACGACTTGAGTGGGAAAAGCAAAGGCCTAAAACCTGATTGTTTTGGCTGACTGGAGTTATGTAAGTTAGTAGGTACTTTGGACATGCAATGCCCTCTCATTTCTGCAGCCTTAGGCTGGCGTCTATCCACCCGCTCTGGGGCACGGATGTGGAATTCTCCAGCAAGACTTTAGGAGTGAGGATGTTTAGCACGTGAAACGTTATTCTACAGGATAGGCGAACAAGGCAGAAGGAAGAAATAGTGCCAAACTGCCTCTACTTATTCTGGAAGTCAAGAATAAGTGTCAAATCTAAACTGGCACATTCAATGCATCGTCTTGTGAGAAATCCCGTAATATTACATACGCAAGACGGGTCCACAGAGAGATTAGCACAAATTCAGAGGCTCAACGAGAGGCTTCTCAAAGAAGAATGCCACAACCTGAATCCCAGGCACAGAGCAAATGCAAGACAACCTGCGTCACGGAACATTCCGCAGTTGTGATGCCAGCGTACACTCAGATGTTCAAATCTCTGTACTCCGAAAGAGGCAGAGAATGGAGGAAAGGAGCAAAGCTAGCAAAGCTAGTGTTAAAGAAGCCCCTGGGAACTAGGACACATTGTGACTGTCAGAAACTTATGGAGAGGGCTCAAAGTACAGCTGAAGTATGTGTGCTATTGATCAGACATTCAGTAAATTTCGCATCGAGTTTTGGCTTGGTGTTAAAGTGAGACAGAGTTGGACACAAATTACTCTGATGAAAGTGAATACAGTACACTATATTACAAAATGATGGCAGCCAGGTGTGGCACGCATGCTTGTAGGTTCAGGCACACGGGAGGCCCAGGAGGGGGACTTGGAATTCAGGGCTGACCTTGGCGGAACCATCAAGACCCTCCCTCCAAATTCCAAACTCCACACAAACACAAGCTGGGAGGACTTTGAGGGCTCTAGTGGTGGAACTGAGCCACTTTCAGCCTTTCTGCTGGTGCTCTTCCGCTCCAGCCATAACTCCACTTCCAGCTTTCTTTTGGAGATAAAAACCTCATGGACTTTCCTGACCAGACTAGCTTTGAACTGTGATCCTCTGATCTCAGCCTCCTGAGTAGCTGGGATTAAAGGCGTGACCACCAACTCCCCGCTGGCAGCTTCCTTTTTAGCACCTGATGAAACTGTGCTTGCTCATAATGATAAGCTTGGTGGTCAGTAGGACTTAACTATCGTTCAGGCTCCTCAGTGCAGCAAGAGTTCAGAAGCTATGTGAGGAAGGAAGCGTCCCACCCATGCCCAGCGTCCGCTCTGTGGGACACCTGGCTCCTCCCTGGCACGTTCCCCTCCTTGTGGTAGAGTTTATGGCATCACGTCTAGTCTTGTTCACCTTTCTATTTTCCTAGGGCCCACTGGTGCCTGCACTTAGTCTGCATTCTCAAATAAATCAACCAAGTAAATGGATGTGAACAATAAAGGAGCGCATGGATGAACCCCGCATCGCTTTGGCATATGATTGTTTAGCTAACATCCAGTTCACGCGTGTAGTTTTCACTTGCTCACTCATAAATGGAGAGTGTTTTGTGTGCTGCACTTTATGGTGAAAGTAATGGCCTTGTTCCCTGGGAGCTCAGAGGCTCTAGTAACAATACTCATGCTAACAGACGGGGGAGATGCGTCCATGTGACCCAACGAGAAACCAAGAGTGAATCCCAAGCATCTGTGTCACCAGAAGGCCTTGAGAGCCAGCCCTGCTTTCCTGCCAGGCGCCCTCAGCGAGGAGAGGAGCCTGAGACACAGCGAGGGAGGAGACGGGACTGGGGCCACTCCTCTGCTGGAGCAAGGGGGGCGCTGCCAGCAGAGGAACATTCTAGATAGCTGGAGGCCTACCAGCAGGCTGGGATGCTAAGGTATCCACAAGAACTTAGTCCAATCTAGGACATGGATAAAGAAATGCGGGAAGTTTGAGAAAGCCTTAAATTGGCCAAATTCTTGACCCTATTTTCAGTATGATATAATTATTGTTCCTAGAAGTTCTAAATGGAAAGAGGATATTGTGCTTTTTAACTTTCCTAAGAGCCCGACACAGAGTCGGGCAGGCAAGGCCCCTTGTAAGCGGGCTCAGCACCCCGCCCAGCCGTCAGCCTGGCTACTCAGCCTCGGCTCGGATCAGGGTAGAAGACTATGGAGTGTACTCACTCGTCCTTGTCCACTTTCTCTCGGAGCTTCTTCAGTTGTTTACTTTGGCTGAATCTCAAATTCTGAATTATGTTCTCAAAGTATTCATCTTCTTGATAGTTCAGCTATAGAAGAGAAAAGATTTGGGGAGAAATAGTAAAGCTAAGGCTCACAAACTTTCTACTAGAAAACACATCTTCTTAAATTCCATCAGTTAACCAGAAATTCATCCATCCACACGTGTAGGCATGGCATCTGTATCTGTCTACGTGTTTTTCAAATACTGAGGGTTGAAATCAGGACTTACACTCTGCCACTTAAACCAGGCCCCCTCTCCAGCCTTGTTCTGCATTCCAGGATTCTATACAACATCTAACTGCCCGACGGTCTCCATCTGTACTCTAGTTAATAGTCACTGATGAAGAAGTGACCGAGCCAGCAGTGCTGGGTGTGCAGTGATCACCTCCACAGACAAGGAAACGGGGCACTGGCTGCCATTGTGGAACTCCAAGGACACATTACACTGTCTTCATCCTCATGATGAAACTATAAACCGGGATCTGTGGTCAGCACTTTAAAGCTGAAGAAGTGGAGGCACAGACGACATAGTCACTTGTCCCTGCCTGAGGAGTGGAGCTGGGATTTGAACCAGCGTCTCTCCATGCCCCTGAGACTCGCAAACTACGCAGCTGACACAGGTGAGCACGCCAGTGGGACTGCCTGCATATGGACGGGAGGCGGGCGCGTGTGGCCCTGCAGACCTCCTCACAGCTAGCCTCTCGGCACGGTTACCCCAGGCCCCGGGGAGGGCCATGGGGGCAAAACTAGGGTGTTGGTTGTGGTGGCCACAGCTAAGTCACGTTGCTCTCAGCTGACTGAAATCAGTACTGTGGTGGCTTTCTGAAAACTGTAGTCTTTAAGTAGTTGTACAAAGGGGTTGTCACTTAACAAGGCTGCTTATGGAAATGCATCTTGATCCACGCCACCCACCCGTTTCAACATTTTCACTGGAACCTCCCAATCTACTCCTTCCCTAACTCCTCTTAGTTTTGCAGGATATTCATGGAATTCTCCTCTGCGTCTGCTCTCCATTCATTCTCCCCTCCCTTCTTAGCCTACCTCTCCCCTTCCAAACTCCCTTCTTGGTGTTTTATGTTGTTGAACTTCACGTCTGCCTTTCTGAAGAAAGACAGGATTCGAGTTCTGCCTTCAATCTACCATATCTCAATTAATCCACTTGTATGCACTTGGATGCCACCCAACACCTTTGCTTGTAAGTTTATGGGCTCATACTAGCTTCCACACTCCAGGAACACGTGCCACCTTTGTCTTTCTAGGTCTGACTTACTTCCCCTGACAGAAATTCTTCTAGGTCTTTCCATTTCCTGGCAAATGGTACACTATCATTCTCTCTAATGGCTGAGTTTTCTCTTGTCATTGTTACTGACCCATGGCAGAATAATCTAGCTCCCAGTTCTCACATGTACAGACTACCTGTTGCTTCATAGAGCAAGAAGGACTTGGGGGTCCCCTCCCCCCACCAGGGTTGGGGTGGGGGTCATGAGAAAGGGGAAGAAACCTGAGCTGGGGCCTGCCTGCCGGCCCACCATTCACTCCTCCACCCCAGCCCCCTAGGCTCCTTAAAAGACGCCAGGTCACCCTTCTTAAAAAGAAAACATATAGAAAACCGTAGCAAAACCCCAGTACAAGACAGGCCAATGAGACAGAAGGCTAGACTGGCCACACCACAACACTGGCCTTCCAGGGCTTTTGCAAGAAGCGCTGTGGAGCTGGGCCTAGGCTCATCAGCTCCAGGGACTCCCAGCCAGACCTGGCACCGCCCCCAGCCTCAGCCATAGTCTAGCACTCACCTCTAAGTACTCATTGTTCAGCTTGTTGTCATTTGAAATAATGTCATCGGGATAGCCGATCCTTTCCTTAATTGCTAGAGCCTAGGAAAATTAAAATATTCAAAGTGAGGATGATTGTATAACTTCCAAATACAAACAGAATTTGCCCCTAGCAGCCAAGGAACTGCGGATCCACGCTGCGAACTGAGAATGCTGGACGCCGCTCTGCCAGAGTCCTTTGGGATTGTTTTGTCTTGGTTAAAAAAATAAGTCAACAAAAGCCAGGTCTGGAATGTGGTTTCCAATACCAGTTCTCACAGGCTGTGGTTTTACCGAGAAAGCCAAAATAAAAACGGACGCGGGTCATTGCTTCAAATGCATTGTGTTGTTACGAACTTTCTCGTGTTATTTTATAGAAGGGGTAATATTTAGAGTTTCCATTCTCACAAGCTATAATTATCTTTCCACTTCATTGATTTGGTTGTGGAAACAGACAGGGGCTCTCCTGCTAATGCTCTTCCTGAATACTGATTCCTTGAGTTCTTCTATCTTCCTTTGTTCCCAGAACTCAGTGGAGCCATCTTCTCAAGTTAAACAAGTAACATTAATTAAACAAGCAGAAAACTGCATTTTCCTTGTTATCCCAGTTTGTATTTATCTTTTACTCAAACTTCTATTTTTTATTTTAATTATTTTAAAATTACTTATTTGACTTATTTTATTATCATTGCTTGTCTATTGCTTTTTTAATTTCTCTCTTGCTTTTGTCACCAGCGACTTTTGATTCTATCATATCCTATTATTCTTAATTAATCTAATTAGCTTAAGCTTTTCATGGAGAAGGAAGCCTGAATCTCTGAGTTACTTGGTTTGTCAACAAGTGATGTGATTTGGTTACAGAACTGTCCTGTGAGCTTGGGCTTACGCATCCCCCTGGGGTCCAGAAAGTCAATGTCATTGGATTCACTTAGGTCAAGTCTATTTTCCTCTCAGTTCCCATGCATTACAAATCAGGTCCCTCTCCACGGTACTTTATTCCTAAACAGAAAAAAAAAATTCCTTGGTGTGCTCTCAGAGATATAAATTCTACAGAAAAGGTACTTTGTGCAATATTTACAGCCAAATACTTTGGGCAAATGCTATGGAAAAATAGTACGTAGGTTGTGTCAGCATTTCTTAGAATTGAAATCAAGTAGATTTTAAGGTGAGTCTTAGATTATTGTAAGTGTTGAAGAGAACTGCTTTGCTGTTGTGTTCACCCTGTGTTCAACATGTACTAAACATGTCTCACACAGCCACTGAGGAGCCTGCCTACCTGTGAGGCTAGGAGCAACTTTTGACCTGGTAGAGATTCCTCTAAAGAGAGATGGTTGGCATGAAATAAATTCACGCACGAATGGGTGTATTCTGGGATTGGGTGGGGCTGGGACGCTTTCCTAAACTCTTGACCCCAATGTGGAGTGGCCCGCAGGGCTGGTGTTTGGTGATGGCACTTTGGGAATGCTGATCAGAACAAGCCAGCTGGCCACGTCAAACAGGACCACGCCATGGCCAGGTGAGACATGGACAGACCAATCCCGTCTGAGCAGCGAAGGAACCGCACAGATAAAGATGACTCTGGAGGCCCTGCTTCTAGGCCCAACTCAACCTATTTTCTAGGTCAAGAGCCACAAACGCGAGTAGTTCTGTGTGATTTAATTCTAAAAGAGAACTGGAGCAGACTCAGTACAGTGGTTTACTCTAGGCTCCTATGCCAGTTCAGAGGGGTCTGTTCTTCCTGCCACCCTAACAGAGGTGGGTCAGGGAGGGGAATGCTCCCTTCCAGCCTCACGGACTCCTTCCTCCTGGTGCTCATGTTGTCATAAAAACCAACGAACACAGTAAATTTAAGATTTCCTGGGGAATCTTTGCACTCATTTCTGTGTAGGATACCGATACTGAAAGTCTCATTTAAAATTGCTCCTAGAGGGTAGTTAGGAGTAATGATAAAAATATTTCTTCAACATCCCTTACTCCAGTTTTCTAACACAAAAAATAATATACTATGTTATACTTAAATAGCAATGTAATATTTTTTTTCTCTCTAAGCTGTACCAAAAAGCTAAATAGGGGCTATTTTAAGTGTTTAGATGGAATTTTACATTACAAATGAAAGGCAAATTTAGAGTGATAGATTGAGATCTTTTATTTTATAGAAGGAAAAACATATGAACCAATAATATATTATCTGTAAATTCACATATCCCTATTTGTTCATACAGGATTTCCTCTTATTTTCCAAATCTCATTTATCTTCAGATAAATGAGATTGCATTAAACTGCAGAGCTTCTGCATGGCAAAGGACATAGTTAGCAGGATAAATAAAAACCCTACAGATTGGGAGAAGATCTTCGCTAGCTTTACAACAGACAAGAGCTTCATATCTAAAATATACTTAGAACTCAAAAAATTAAACCTTTCAAAGCAAATCCTCAAAGAAATAATCATCCCATTAATAAGTGGGCTAAAGATTTAAAGAGAGACTTCTCTGAAGAGGAACTAAGAATGGCTGATAGACACATGAAGAAATGCTCAACATATCTGGCCATAAAAGAAATGCAAATCAAAACAATACTGGGATTTTTCCTCACCCCAGCTAGAATGGCCATTATAAAGAAAACATTTAATAATAACAATGGGGATGTGGGCAAAAGGGAATGCTATTACATTGTTGGTGGGAATGTAAACTTGTTCAACACTCTGGAAAGCAGTATGGAGGTTCCTCAAAGACTAAACAGAGAGCTTCTCTATGACCAACAATCCCAGGCCTGGGCATTTAGCCAGATGACCATAAACCAGGCCACACTGAAGTCACCAGAACAACCATGTTCATTGTAGCATTGTTTACCATACCCAAGACATGGAATCAACTCAGATTCCCCTTAGTGGATGAATAAGAAAATGTAGTATATATACACAATGGAATTCTATGCTTCCATCAGAAATAATGACATCACCCTATTTGTAAGGAAATGGAAAGACTTGAAAAAAATCATATTAAGTGAAGTAGCCAAACCCAAAGAAATATAGGTCCCATGGTTTCCCTCACTTGTAATAATTAGTATATGTCTAGGATAGCCCTAGCTGAGGATCACAATAGCTAGCAAGCTAGGTGTATATGACCACATAAAATGATGCTAATCAAAATGAACAACAAAATATGGAAACAAAAGGTTTCTTTGTTGTTGTTGCACACTGTATGTAGTTATTTCTTTTTCTTTCCTTTCCTCCCCTTTGATTTAAACCCTCCTGTCACTGTTTTTGATTCCTGTACTCTTTTATTTTGCATATAAGTTTATCTGATTTGGGGATGAGAAGAGGAATCACAGAAATGGAGGGACAAAGGACAAAGGGGAAACCAAGGCCAACAGTGATACTAGTTGGAAATGAACCATACAATTTTGGGAGGCGAGGAGTTGGGAGGGGGAAGGAAAGCGGGGGGCGCGGGGGAGGGGAACAAGAGAGGGGGATAACACTGTTAGACAAGAAATGTACTCATTACCTTACGTATATAACTGTAACTCCTCTGTACATCACTTTTATAATAATTTTTTAAATGGTTGCATTTTTAAAGTTTTAACTAAATATGGATTGTGTTGTTGGTTGCTGACATTAAAAAAATCTTATAAAAAATCTTCATCCATGAAACTGGAGCTTGGAACTTTTCATGCCATATTTGGTTATAATTTTTCTTAACTATCTTATAGTTAAGTTCTTCCTATAAAGAAAATTTTATGTGTAGCCCCTCCTGGTTTTTACCTTCTCTTCAGCTTTCTTCTTGGTTTCTGCATCCATCCATGTGAGGTCATCCAATGTCTGAATAAAAACTTCTCGGATCTGAGCAATCAGATCTTCAACCTCAAACGAAGAGAACAGAAGCCAAAGATAATCCCTAACACAATTCTTTATGCCTCAAAGTTGTAAAAATAGAGCAGCATGCTGTCTTTGTAGGAACAGTAACATGTTAACAAGTGTAAATCTAGAGAAAAATTACGACCAAACAAATGAACATATGGGCTCATTATATTGTAAAGTGTTATTACTATATATACCTATATTCCTGTCTGTTCCTAGTCCAATTCCAGATTCCTGATTAAATTGTTCATAATACACACATTAATTTGGAAGAATCACCACTGGTTCAGAATCGCCATTAGTTGGTACAGAATGTAATGGCTCCCACTCTCCTTGCAAAGAACTATCAAAATGCTAGCTGATTAATACTTAAACCATTAGAGGTTTAATTAAGCATGAAGCAGAATCTCAATACATCCTTTCACTATACTGTTAAATTCATTGTCTTCTTTTCAGGAACAGTAAAAAATGGAGCATTTCTCATCCTTCCAGTAACCCCCCCAGGGAGTTAGCAAGTAATGGAACAGTCATTTGTGTCAGTTTGGCAGTGTGGGTTTATCCGTGCTGGGGCCGGGGGAGCACCGTGTTTGCAGGTCCTAGTGCGCTGTGTCTGGAGAGTGGGCAGGGGCTTTGAATTCAACACTATCAGAAGCAACCCGGTCCTTGGGGAGGGAGACTTGCTTAGAGGAGGCTGGGCTCTCTGCCAGCTAATGAGGTTTGAGCTGAGCTATGGACAATTGTGATCAGCAACACAGCCTGCACACAGGGCAGTGCAGGGCACTGTGAGGTCACTGGGAGAGGGGCCAGGCCACCTCCACGTGTGCTTGCTGTCCCCCTCCAGGCCTAGGCCACCACTGTGGTTGCTGTCCTCCTCCCAGGCCTAGGCCACCTCCCCGTGCTAGCTGTCCCCACCACACGCCTCCCAGGGCCCGGGACAGTACCACGTGCTTGCTGTCCCCTGCAAATGCGGCTTCCACGTATAGCCTCCCCACAGCGGTCTCCATGTTTCCATTGACGTAGTTTGCACAACGCCGCCAGGTCGCCGTTTCCGAGGTGGTGCCGTACAGAGCCTGTGAAGGAGAAGAGCGAGGCATGCTGGGACGGGGAGCGTGGCCCGCGCCTTCCCCACCGTCCAGCTCTGGCTTTCTCGTGTCCACTCTGGGGTATAGGCCGCATCGCTCCTCTTCACACATCACGTGTCCCTGACCTATGATACAACATAACCCTCCAGAGCGTCCACTTAAAAATGGTCTGCAAATGATGTGGCAGGCCCCAGGAAAACTTTTGGCCATGTTAAGTTCATATCCTTCCAGAAAGCTTTGTGAAAGTAAATAAAAACATTGCCACTGGTCACATGAACATGTTCAGAGGGGAAAATAGTCTACAGAAGAAAACATTTTCCTGCTTTTTTTTTTTTTAATGTTTTTAGCTGAACTCGAGGTACTTTAGAAAAACTTTCTGTGGATAAATTTATGTATCAGGAGATTAACCTTGGTAAAGCAAGTTTAGCACAATGCCCTTTTTGTATTCTTTAATTAAAAACATGTGGCTCCGTTTTCTTTTTAAGAGGGGGAAATTTCAGCTTTTTTTTTCTTTCCAGCACACCAAGACATCAATGTAGGCTAGCGTTTCCCCTCCTGGCCCCCTTCAACAGGACCCAGGCAATTCTTTACACAGGGTAGGCACAGCCCACAGCGAGACTTTCAGGCTGTTTCTTCTGGTAATCGTGTTGTCAGTGGATTTCCAAGTCAGTGTAGGCTATCTGTGTCTTTGTGCAGTGTGCTGAGGGCACTTGAAAGTCAAGTTCATTGAGACAGATACCCTGCAATGCTTTTTGCACAACAACAGCAACAACCAATCGATCCAGTGTTCACCTCCAGCTTCTCACACAGCCCAGTCTCTCTGTAGAGGACTAGGAGATTGGGCAGCCATGGAAAATCACTCCAGGATGGCACAGCCCACGAGCCCTACCCCTCCCCACCTGGGCAGCACACTCTAGACACGTGCAAAGCAAGCGGCACTTGGCATTTTTTGGGTGTGTGGGCAAAGCTCGCCCTGATCTAGCAGTGAACATGGCAAACTTCCCTGACCGTGGGTCGACCCTATGCTTTAAATCTTAAGAAAAGAGAGATTGTTTCTTCACCTTGCGGAAAGCATTTCTGGACTCCTTGTAGGTTCTGCTGAGGCTGCTTACAAGATCCATTATGAACCTCCAGGCCATTAAATTTTGAAGATCTCTGTATAAAAAAACCCACCACCCAGCAACAGAAAGCATGAGGCTGCAGGGCTTCTAAAGAGGGATGGGAAAGGCAGAGTTGGGGCTTGGGGCACTCCCACACACCTACCTGGTGGAATATTTGGTAAGAATGGGCTTAAGTTTGGTTAAATATTCTGGAGCATAAACAACCACTTCTTCCTCACTGGGGATGGTGACATTCACAGTCGACATGATATCATTTGTGAAATTTGACCAGCTGAATGACTGGAAAGAAACAGAACAAGAGAAGGCACAAAACACTCAGTAATTACAGACTTCTCTTCTTGGTTCCAACATTCAATTACGTTTACGAAGGGCAGACATGGAAGGGTGTTGGTTGCACAGCTAAGTGATTATCGTAATAGTCAGTTTATGTGTTTGGGAGGTCTCCTCAATTGTTTCAATCAGCTGTTGAATAAAAATTAGCTGTGCAATATGATTATTCAGATAGCATAATTAAACCAACCACTTAAGAGAAACAACAGAACTGTAAGCCTCGAGGACAGAACATACATATAACTAGAAATTAGGTTCATTGTCATCTTCTTCTTTACTCAATATAAAAAAAAGAAAAAGGAAACTTAGCTTTCAGAATATAGCTTTTGGGGCTTATGCAAAAATAAAAATGAGCTCAAATGTCTTTTAAGAGTGTACTTCTGTGATTGTGGAATGGCTGTTTGCTTTGGCACATTTTCCACTGAGCTGCCAGTGAAAAGAATACCTGAGAACATTTTAAATGTTGAATAAAAATCAGAAATGTGTAAAAAATTAAATAAAAATGGATATTAATGAGCAATGGATTCATACACGGTACTATAGCTGGGGTGAAGCCAGATCAAAAAATACATTTCGAACTGCTAATGTTAGACGTTACCCAAGTTTTATATTTCAGAAGCTAAGTTCAGAGTTTCTAGAAGGTAGACTCTTGTCTCTTACTCCACAAATGGAGTGCATATTATAGACTCTTAGGTGCTAAATATTTGTTTTCCTTTGGCGGTTTGGACACATTTATTATACATATAATCCTTGTTAACAAGAATTAGGGCTAAAGATGGATAGTTTTTTTATGTATATCTTCCATCACTGTGCCTCAGCAAGAACCGGAGTGTAGACATACAACCCCAAAATGAGATTGTTCGAAACTAGCTAAGTGAAAAGAAATCAAGTCCTACTTATAAATAGAATCTACGAGACAGACTGTCTTCTTCCTTCTGTATTCTACTTCTCTATTCTTGTTCAGAACTCCTCTAGAGATGGCCTTGAAACCATTGACAGTTCTGTGAATAAATTATCCTGCTTTAGGACTAAAGAAGAAATTCAGTGTTTTATTGTTTGACAGCCCAGAGACTATATAATAGTCTCAAAGACTTCCCCCTCTTCCAGTCTCTGCTCTGCTATAGTTTCTAAGATTATGGCATGCCCTCCTTGATTTTTAAATTTTAAATTTATTCTAACGGTACATAAAATGATTTCAAATGGTCCTTTTTGTAAAAGATCTTATCAAAGGCTAGTGTCATCTGAAGCAATTTTGAATTTTAATTCATTTCAACAAATAAATCAATGAATTAAAAAAAAACAATATTTTAATTTTAGGGCACAGCACAGTAAGAGGGCCAATGGAAACTCTGTCTCACCTTGCCGTTGATTTCTAGTGAAAAGTTCCTGTGGAGCTGGGCCACTGTCATTTTGTTGTAAAGGAGCATTGGGTCATTTCGATCTTCAGGTTTAGTTGTAGCCTATAGATAATAATTTTTCATGATTAGAATGAAAGGAACTCCTTAGAAAAATATAACTATACACAAGGAAAGAAAAGGCGTAAGGTAAGTTCACTGTGGTCTATATTACACTTGATTTGTGATTTATTTGGTCATATTGGAAAGAAAAGTGAAATTCAAGATTTTATAAATTCGGTAACAATGATCAACATGCGGCTATGGTGTTGACTGCAAAATTCTTCAAAAACTTTTTGTATATTTTGATAAATTAATACGCCATATAAGCTGTGTTCGTGGACCAGAGCTGAGGGCAACTCTAGCCTGTCCTGTGTCACAGAATAACTTTCCTGGATATCATCCTCTCCAACTCACCTATCAAAGACTCCAATCTCAAGCCCTCTGCCCCTTTCAATGTCTCAAAGTCCAGCCAAGAAAAAAGAGTTTATCTCACAATTTATGGCAAACAACAGAAAAGTCAGGATGTGAGGTTTCTGAGCAGATCCCTAATTTCCTGCCCTCGCCCTTCTGTTCAACCACAGCGCTGCTCTACACTCAATAGCAGCCAATCTGATTTTATTCATTAAACCTGAAAAATAAGACATTATATTAGCAGGCCTCCAGTTAGTGGCCTAAATGAGTAAAAATGAATTTAAGTGAGGAGAGACAAGGCAAGGGTAATTATTACTTGGTGATAATGGCTGAAATGTTCTCAAAAGGCAACTAATGTTTGTGAAAATAATCACTACTGCTGCGGGCTGCTGCATACTGTCAGAGAAACACAGGTAGTGTACCCAAGTGGCTGAGACCCCTTGCCCTACTCAGAGGCAAGAAAGGTGACAGTGAAACACAGATAACTCTGAGTGATACAGCTGTCTCTACAGGACCAAGGCTGGTTCAAGGGAGAACTCAGACAGCAGGAGTGGCATGATCCTGGGGCGGGATTATCCACTAGCAGAACTGGCCCCACAGAGGCACATGGAACCTATCAGGCTGCATCTGCCAACCCATCGGACTACCATCCACCAACCCATCAGACTACCATCCACCAACCCATCAGACCACCATCCACTAACTCATCAGATCACTATTAACCAACATATCAGACTACCATCCACCAATCCATCAGACTACCATCCACCAACCCATCAGTCTATCATCCACCAACTCATCAGACTACCATCTACCAATGCATCAGACTACCATTTACCAACCCATCAGACTACTACCCACCAACCTATCAGTCTAGCTGTAGCTCTAAGCAGCCCAGATAGGCCTGAATGCTTAGTTCCATGCAGCCCAGGAAAGTTACAATGTCCTCTAAGACCTTCTTTCTTTAAGATTCTTATGAGACTGCCTGACAGAGGTGAGGGGTTCTGAGGGCTGAGGGGCTGGGCTGACTCTGAGTCTGGGTTCAGTGAACCCAGACACCAGAGTCAAAGTTGACTGGGTTTTGACCACAGAGCAATACCCAAGGACTGTCAGAGCACAAAGTGCCAGCTCAGACTCCCAGGTTCACTGGAACGCAGAGACTTGCATGCACCTTACCCCCTGGGACTTGAGGCTGGCGCCCCTGCCCTTCTCTTAGGTCAGCAGTCTGGAAGTCTGCTCTGGCCTCTGGCCATGTTTGGGGCTAGCACTTCATCAGGGGTGACAGACACTGATCCCTGTGATCATTTTTAATTCTAGAACTACAAAATAAAGTCAAACTCTTTCCTACAGCAGAAGCTGTTTGTGTGCAAAACCTGTACACCTTGGTTTGTTTCACTCCAGGTAATGCCCCCAAACACTGAAATTTCACTACAAATACCATCGACCTAGATACCAGCTATTTACCAGCTTTCCTGTCAAAGGCACCCAACACTTAAACTGCAATGGTAGTGTTGTTGGTGTGATCCACTTATTACTGGCATTTGAGTATATCTAGTTTAATATTTGTCAGAGTTAGTGGGTCACCCAGTTTGTTATAAAACTCTGCAGTTTCAAAGACTCTTTTGGAGTCAGTGATCCATTCCTGAAGAATGAATTTTTATCACGTGGTTGGAGTTACACTTGTGTCCTTAGAGCAGGAGAGGGGGGAAGGGTACAGAGATTGACATTAGTTAGCATATCAGAAAAGAAAATGTGCTTTACGTTGGCAATTTCTTTTTCCAGTTCCATAACTTTATTCATCTCCAGAGCAAGCTGGTTCTCATCAACAGGCAATCCTTGCTCCTGACGAATCAGTTTGGCCACAGAAATCATGAAATCCACATAGGCTGTACAAGCCTGCAAGAAATAAATGATAAAATGTTGGAGAACTTTCTAAATACCCAGCATGGTACTCTAAGTTGCCATGATTCTTTCCGTCACTGAAAATAAATCACAAGTGAATCTGACGCAACACAGCTCAGTCACTACAGAGCCAAAGTGCTGTAAAGGATTCATTTTTCATAGTAGGTGAAGCACAGTGAAACAGAAACCTTCCCGATGTACTGAAAGAAATGACCTGCACAGTGTCTTAGAAGATAAAGCTGTCCTTTAATTAAGAGTTTACAGCTGTGGCTCAGTGGTCTCGTACCCGCCTATCAAGTACAAAGCCCTGAGTTCTAATATCAGGACAGCCAAATAAACAAAAGTTCAATAAATACTTTATAACGACTGAATGTGGAACTCATGCAATTTTCAATCTAGTCATTTTGCCTTGATAAGAATGAAATTGCAAGCTGGGTGTGCTGGTAGCTCACGCCTGTAATCCTAGCTACTCAGGAGGCTGAGATCTGAGGATCATGGTTCAAAGCCAGACTGAGGAGGAAAGTCTATGAAACTCTTATCTCCAATAAACCACCAGAAAACTGGAAGTGGCACTGTGGCTCAAGTGGTAGAACGCTCGCCTTGAGCTGAAGAGCTGAGGGACAGCGCCCAGGCCCAGAGCTCAGGCCCCACGACTGACACAAAAAAAAAAAAAAAGAATGACACTGCAATACCTGTGCACTGATGACTCACGCCTGTAATTCTAGCTACTCATAAGGCTGAGATCTGGGGAGCACACTTCAACGCTACCCGGGGCAGAAAAGTCCAGGTGAGACTCTTTCTCTCCAATTAACCACTCAACAACTGCAAGTGGCTCTGTGGCTCAAAGTGGTAGAGTGCTAGCCTTGAGCACAAAGAGGTGCAGGGACAGCGCCCAGGCCCTGAGTTCAAGCCCCAGGACCAGCAAAAACAACAATGACAACCACAAAACAAAGAAACTGAAAATCCTTCATGAGAAATATTATATCTTACTGTTTTTTTCTTACATGACAGTAAATTCCTTAACCAAACCTGTTCTCAGATTTTCTTTGTTCATATCTACCATGAATGTTTTCATGTTTGAGGAGAACATAGCTGCATACTGAAATAATATGATCAGGAAATCTCTCTGTCCTTGTTGTCAGATCAAACAGTAATTTTTTATGACTGCTCTCAGGAGTTCTTGAGTGTGTTTAGCTTATTCCACAAGACTCTCAGTGCTGAGGGGTTTCACTGTAAGATGCCATTAGATGCCAGCTCTCAATTCCTTGATATTTTATCTTCAAGTACATTTTGATTTGTAGAAGTAAGCTATAAGTGAGTTGTATTGTCATCGACCTCTTATAGACAATGTGAATACCTCACTCACATTCAGTTCAACCCCAGGAAATCAAATCTCCCTTTGTTCAATCTCAACCCACTGCTGCTTCTTAGCCATGATTTCCCATCAGCACTTAAAGTACAATCTCATCTCACTTAAAATGTACCCCAAATTTAGGTTCTTAGCACCAGCTGGCCAAGTAGGCAACAGTTATCAGGAAAACAAAACGGTCCCACAGTGGGAGGGGAGGCGGGCCGTCTGTGCTTCCAAGACTAGATTCCAGGGCAGAGAAGAGCGCGAAGGGCCCAGTGTGTGCTAGAAAATACCCAACTGCTCAAGAATGTTTTCTAACCCTACTAATGGTTTACAAGCAAGGGACACTTGTGTCTTCACTGTGAGTGCAAAGAGACGCATTATTTACAGTGGTCCAAGCCTAACGGTGAAATGAAAATATGATACCAAGCGAGGACCAAGCAGATTGGACAAGTTTTTTTTTTTCAATTTGCTATTTGTGACCTCTGCATGAGCAGTTTCTGAGGAAGTCTCTCTCCCCTGGAAGCTCTGCCATGCTGTGCTCTCCTGCCCAGCTCCCTAGCGGCTCTCTCCTCCTCTACTTCCTTCTCTCCATCCCTTCCTTTCTTTCTCCTCCACCTTCTTTTCTCTTCTCCCCTCTTCCCCTCCTCTTCCTCTCTTTCCTTCCCCTTCTCCCCTTTCTCTTCCTCTTCCTTTTCTCCTCCTCTCCTCCTCCTTTTCCTCTTCCCTCCCCTCCCCACTGTCTTCTCCCCCCCCCCCTCCCCCCCCCCCCCCCCCCGAAGCAAATGTCTCTCTTCAGGCACCTGCTTCTCTCAGGAGAACAAACAGCTTTCAGCTGTGAATCTGCATAAAAAACGAGTCACTAAGGTAACAGAAATGAATACACACACACACACACTTTCATATTTCTCTACATTCTTGCCAACTCCATTCCTTTCCTATTAAAAGCTAATCAGAATTCTTGTTTCACTTTGAAATAAACAAGCAGGTCTGCATTCAGGCTGCATGGAGCCCCTCTCTGGAAGCCAGTGCCGCATTATCCGCACTCACAGCATATAAACCCACCTCCCTTCTGCAGGGAATTACTACGAGGAAGGCAATGGTCATTTGAAGTTTTCCAGTATCACCCTACTGAGACTTTTCCTTGCTCTGAGAGATGCTTTGTTGTTAATGAGGTGAGAAGACAGATGGGGCTTCTCCATGAGTGCTGGCTCTGTAAACCGGCCCTGCTTCCATCCAGTGTCCTCAGTTTTGGAGGGGCAGCAACAGGGACACTGGGTGGGGTAGATGGGGCTGGGACCCCATCCCCCAGGAGCCCAGTGGGTTAACCCAGCCTGGAAACCTCCTGCCATGGGCTTTTGAAATCTGTGTTAGGAGCTTGATCAACTTTCCTGGCTTCCAAATGATGCAGGCCTTGTGAGAGCCCAAGCTGGCTGCTACAGCTACAGTCCTTTGATAAGATATGACTCTACTGTAAAGTTTCAGGTTGTTTTAGGGATGAGGACTAGAGTTGCCTGTTGTTTTTGACATTTATTGAGTCAACTTTTTCTATTTCTTTTTCTTTGGGAGACAAGTGCTCTGCCACCACTTGAGCCATCCCTCATGCCTTTAAAGAGATTAGCATTGGTATTAGTATTATTAGCAGTGTGAAGTACTGACCCCAGGACCTTGCGCATGCTGGGCAAGTGCTAGTTGCTGAGCCACACTCCAGCACTTTAAGCCAGCCTCTTTGAAGAGTCCGTCAGCGATCCTCCAAGTGGAGAAGGGTCCAAGAAAATCCCTCCACAGCCTTCCATGCCAGGAGCAACCATTAAACCCTGGCACTGACAAGAGCCATTTCCAGGGGACGACTGGTTTTAAACAGTAGGATGAAGTCCATAAACCAGCCATGGGGTGGAGATTTAGGCCACACACGTTCCAGAGACCAGCACGTGGCAAGTTACCCTGGCCAGCACTGCCTTCTCAGTAGCAGCACTAGACAATGACATTTGCATGCTAGTTCTTTAACAGTGGGGCCCCCTTGCCTGGGAAAAGCTGGGGTTCAGTGAGGTGGGAGAAGCCATTTTAATCCTGCCCTCCTCCAGGCTGCAGTGGCGGCAGAGCCAGGGAAGAAGTGCCGCTATCCACACTGCCCGATGCTGGTCCTCTGGGGGGGGGGGGGGCGGCCCACAGGCAGGGGCTCCGCTCCAGAGGGTTTGTTTAGGCAGTGAGCAAGACCCCTGGGCAGTGCGGGCAGGGAGGCACTGGGAAGTGTACAGTGCCTGACCCTCGGCTATGGAGGTGGGGGAGATTAAGTGTTGCATACGTGGTAGGCTGGGGGACGCACAGGACCCCTGCCAGAAAAGATGGGGTTCCTCTCACAAAGGCTTGGGTGTGCCCCAGCTGGCACATGCTGCCGGCAGAGTGAGCCAGCCACCGAGGGTCTGCAGAGACCCAGAGCAGACCACCCTCCCGGGACGCAGGGGAGGGACAGCACAAGCCCGAGCAGGGCGCCGGGCCGGAGCTGTGTCCAGAGGGGCCTCCCATCCAGTGCAGAGGAGCAGGCACACATGGGTCATCGCCCGGGCTCGGGAAGCAGACAGAGGACTCCTGACAGCCCGGCCACCTCCAGAATATGCCCCTTGTCCTATTCCCAGGTTCCCAGGTCAAACTGCCCTTTATACTGTATTAAATGCAGAGATCTGGGAGGAGTGAAACTCCAGCATGTATTAGGTGGTGCCCAGAGAGGAGGGATGAAGTGAGCACTGTCCTCTACAGGAGACACCAAACCAGTCAGCCCTGAGAGAGGAAACCAGTGCTGACCACCACCAAGCTGCACAGACACACACACACATGCCCACTACCATGCACAGCCCACCACCCTGCACACACACATGCAAGCGTGCATATACATACTCCCACCATCCTGTACTCGCCCACCACCCTGCACATACCCACCACCACCACCCTACACACACATATGCCCACCACCCTGCACACACATGCACATACACACACACACACATGCATGCGCACATGCACACCACCCCACACAGCCCACCACCACCCTGCACAGCCCACCACTCTGCACACACACATACACCACACCGCCCTGCACAGCCCACCACCCTGCACACACACATTTGTGCATGCGTGCGTGCACACATACACACACCACACCACCCTGCACAGCCTACCACCACCACCTCGCACACAACTGACCTCATGTTCACACATGCAAAGGTCTCTATGAGCCTCATGTACACATGTGAAGGGATCCACAGGCCTCATGTACGCATGTGCAAAGGGATGGACAAGGCCTGCTAGGATGTTTGGAGCGGTGAAGGAGTGTGGTATGCACGCATGGATGTGGCAGGACAAATCCCTTGTACAACTGTGGATGCTAAAAAAATTTTAAGATGGCCAAGAAAGCCATTTCAATCATTCTCAAACGATCCACCCTGCCTGCCACTCTTCTCCTACATCGGCATTTGTAGCACTATCTTGATTTATCGTTTGTTTATCCTTGGTGTCTTTACGGGTTCCTTTGTTGTCTGCCTTCTCCTTTAGCATGTGGGTTCCACGAGAGCGGGGGGTGGGGGGGGGCTTGTTTCCTCGGGGTTCGTTTCTCTCCTACCACCTCAGAGAGCCTGGTCCTCGGCTGCACTCGCACCTCGGAGGGTCAGTGGGCATACCAGGTCGAGTCTTGGCTCCCGGCACCCTTGAGCTCTTCTCCCGTCAGACAGGGCTTGGGGGTCCTGTGTGCTTTTCCTCTGATTCAGACACACAGACTTGAGTAATCTCTTTTTGGCTTTTGTTCATGTGGCCACATTCTAAATTCTTTCGTCTTCCCTAAGAAACCCCTCCCCTCCCCCCTCTGAACTCAAAGAGTTTGGAAAAGCCCTGGACGAATCATCCCTTTCTCTTCCTTCTCGCCAGGCTGGATGCAAGCATGGGTTCCTGTCCGGAACAGCTTCTCTAGCCCAGTGGTTTACTCACGAGTATTCTAATCCTGACATGCACTGTGGGCGCCGGGCAGCACTGTGCCCTCATACAACGTCTTTCTTTGGTTAGGAACCAGGCCCTGGTCCACACAGCCCCGGTCACCAGGATGGGGGTCTGCACATCTACACCCTACTGCCCTCGGACACTTGGGGCCCCTGGTCCACAGACACCCCCCAGGGGGGCTGTATAATCAAGTGACATCCTCCTAATCTAAGATACCAACAACTCAGAACTTCATACAAACCCCCTAAGTCAAGAAAAACACCCTTATGCCAGATTCAAGACCCAGAGTGCCACATACCCAAGTATGAATGCACCAACACACTATTACCTCCTATCTGCTGGACAAATGAAGAATGAAAAAGAAGCATCCCCATAGTGAGTGACTTCAGAAAGACCTTGGAAAGTGTGGAATATCTATGTACGTTAGAACTGGGAACAAACTGGTGTATGTATGAGGGTACAATCCTAAACATGAAACACGCCCTGCTCACAGGACGATAGCATGATGTAATGAGCTGACCTCCTGGGTATCTTTTACCTCTGAAACAGGAAGCAGCTGGCTGCGTGCCAAGGCCGGAGCCAGTGCACACACAGCTCCCGAGAGAGAGCGTGCACTGCTGTGATGATCTGGGCTCGGCCTTTGATACAACACCTCAAGGTTTCCCTTCCTTTCAGCGTTGGGTATCAACTCCAAAATACAGCTTATTCCATGTGATTTGACCTTAGTAATTAGGCAAAGTAAGTGTGAGGCAAAAGCATCCTTTGCTAAAGACTGCAACCAGGAAGTGACTTCAATCAGGGCATACTCCGTGAGGCCTAGGGTCATCGAAGGTCAACTACCAAATAATGGTGAGGAAAACATCTGTAGGCTCCCGCCGCCCCTCCCATCTAACCACGCACAGCTGTCCTGGTTCATCTGAGCTGTCCCTTCTATCAGCCCATGGTGGGTGGGCCACTATGAGAACCAGAGGAGGGATGCCCTGCTTGCACAGGCCTCAGAAGGTTCTAGAAGAATGCCTTTCATGGGACCAGTCAACTGACCGCTGTCCTCAGTGACACCACACCGTGCTCCAAACAACCTGATCATTTTCCAAATGCTGCAAGTTACCAGTGAATTAGAACTTGTAAAAGTGACTTTGCAAAAAGTCAGACTCGCGTGATTTTCAGTACTAAAATCAGGATGCCGGTAAGGAATGTTAAGCTTTTTGTTTTTTAACCTTCATTTGGTCTTTTTGAAAGATGGCTCATTATTCTGTGTGATTTCAGGTGTCTGTCACGCATTGAGAATGTGGGAAGGATGTTCAAACTTGGCTCTAGTCACCTTCATTAATTACAGGTTTTTGCAACAGATGGTTCTGTAGTTGTGACTGAGAGTGATTTATTTCCCCCCTTTCAGAACTTACCTCCTTATAAATTCCAGTGCATTCATAGTAGTCTCGGGAAGGAAGGCCGAGTCGAGGCTGGTCAAACTAGAAAAAAAATAATAACAAACCATTCTGTAGGTATAGATTAGCTGGACCAAAGCAGACGTCTGTCTGCGCCTGTGCTAGCGATAGGCCAGTGGCTGCCGCTTTAACACCAGGCCTGAGTGGAACCTGACCTGGAGGTGGCTCTGCCACCCACAGGCTCCAGGGAAGCCGAAGGAAACAACAAACAGATGGTGAGGCTCTGCAGAGCAGTGGCCCAGGACCTGGCGTCACCTGGCTGCCTTCTCCTCTGTGCCACTCTTACCTGGGGCCCTACCTCATCCCTGGGGAGCCTGTCATATCCTTTCCCTGGTGCGGGCGCGTGAGCAAGGCCTGGTGCAAAGCCCTGTGGTAGCTCTAGAACTCACTAGTGAGGGAGAACCTTCTAGGAATATAATAGCAATCCTCCAGCACAGAATTTATTGGTTGTTCGTGTGACTGACATGAAAATAGGCCTTGCTTCTAAGTGAGGATTGCCACAGGGTTCCTGGAAGTCAGGTCGCGCTGTGAAGTCCCCCGAGCTGTGCGGCATAGACTTACATGAATGATGTGCTGGTTAGAGTTCTTGTCATCCGTGCCAACAAAGAAATTGATAAGGACCTTCTTTCCATATTTGGAATTCAGTTGTGCAATAGCTTTCTCAGCTGTCCAAGAACTCCCTAAAGCAATGAAAGTGGACACAGGTCTTTAGAAGTCGGGGTTCATGACTGATGGCGATCACGGACGCCACCCGGATATCCATGTGCTTTAAAAATAGACAGCAGGGCGCTGCCTTACCATAGGTCTGGTCCCAGTTTTCAGTGGCCGCGGGCCACCCGTGTATCTCCGGCAGCAGTCTGAGCAGAGGCTGTCCACCTCGGCTGTCGATGGCAGCTTCAGGAAACAATCAAAAGAAATGCAAGGTGATGCTCATGTGTATTTTGGCCCCTTCCTATCGAAATGAACATAAGGAGCACTTACACTCATTGATGCAAGACCTGTACAAGGTTTTTGCTTTCTGCACAGCCACTATGTCTTCTGGCTTGGAGTCCTGGAGGACGTCTGAAGGAGGAAAATGCATCAGAACATCTGCTCATTCGCAGCCGCCATGGCTTCCGGCCTAAGCTCGGTAAAACCAGAACCAAGGCCTTGCATTTCTTCTTCTGAGTTCCCAACCCCAAAGGGAAAAGCCAAACTCATTTTCTGATCCACATTCCCAGCCCGCAACTAGAAGACAGTTTTCACAAGGTATTCAGATGGGAGTCCTTTCAAAGGGGTTTATCTCGAGGACTGCTGACTTTCCACGAGATTATCTGGAGGCCTGCAGGCTGCCACGCAGTGCTTCGTCCTAGGCGAGAGTTACTTTGCTTGAAGCTGAGATTGGAAAAGTAAGTGACACAGAGGAAGTTGGAATTGAATAGAGATATCCCTCTGAAGGGCGGGAATAGAATTGTCTTTGTGTAGCTGCAGCCTTCATGGTCAGAATGATTAAATGGATGGTTCTACATGGTTAGATGTTAAAGGAGCTAAAGATTTTTCTCCCTTTGAAGCAACTTCTAGAGAAGGATGGAACAGAGGATGGAGATTGGAGTTCAGACCTCCCCTAAGCTTCTGAGAGAAGATCAACCTTAATCATGTCTCATAGGGACGGAAGGGGCACGGACGGTTATTCATTGTTCCCTCTAAAATGGCATACGTGTATCATCTCTGGAGCTGGAAGGCCTTTGTCTGTGTATACCCACAAGCACAGGCAGGACATGTTTATCAGTTGTATACCCACAAACACAGGCAGGAATGACAGGAGAGGCCAAGTCTACCGACACCAGCCGTTCCAGCACCGTGAATCTCTTGCCTGGCCCTCTGTACCACCAGCAGCCACTGCTTTGTGCGAGCAGGAGGCGGGTGAGGCGGGAGGTCGGCTGCACTCACCCTTGAGCACGACCTCGAGCTCGTCTCTGAGGATGTCGAAGTTGCTGTACCGGGAGCTGGTCTCCGGGATGACGTTGCGCTTCAGCCAGCCGCCACAGGCGTATTTGAAAAAGTCCGTGCAGGGTTCAGCACTGGAGTCCATGTTCTGGATCAGCCGGGCAGCTGTGAGACCAGAGAAAGAATGGGGTGAGATGCAGGCAGGCCTCTGAAGACAAAGCAAGATCTGCTGATGGTCACACCAAGGGGACCGGTGGGCCTTCGCCTTGCCTACGTAACTGTCAATTCTGCGGCCGCGATGAATCACATCTGTGTGCAGTCCCTGTTCTGCTTTTACTCTAGTTGGGTCATTTTATTCTTGCATGGTCTCTTGAGTCCTCCCATCCTCTCCCCAGTCTCTCCTCACCCCAAGAAGTCTCCTACCCATTCCTCCTGAATAAGTGGGTTTCTGGTTAGTCACTATCTCCAAAGCAAAAAGAGTGCAGACTCTTTGCCTTGCTCTGGTTCTCTCGTATTCTTCCCTCTGGTAACTTAGTTGCCATTTCTGTGACTCTGGGAGTCTCTGGGAGTCCTGTTAGAGGATGTTATCAGTTTGATAGAACTGAAGCCATTTATCCCTCCTTGGTTCTTGGGTACGACATGTTTGCAATTCAAATTGGCACCCAATTTGCATTTCTCTATGCAGAGTATCTATGTCATTATTAGACTGGCTGTAAGTGTATTCATTTTTCTTATGTCCCCTCTTTTATCTTGGAGACTGTGATGGAAATTCAAATCAACCAACACTGAGAATTTACTGACTCTTCTAGGTGCTGCAGTTGATAAAAGGTGTGTAAGACATAATCTGCTTGTACCCAGAGGACACGGCAGGAGGGAGGGAAGGGTCTGCGTTCCATTCTCCTTGCTACTCTGAGACAAGCCGCACAGTTTTACAGTGAAAACATGAGAGCAATTCGGCCAGCCTCCAGGAGGAAAGAGCAGCAGTTCTCAGGTGAGCTTCTGGAAGAACTTCACTTTCTGAGTCAATCAATTCAGTAAAAATGCCACCAAGGCGCCGGGCTGCGTGGGTTTCTTGAGTTGGCAGCAGAGGCCCAGTTCCCATGTCCGTCCACCTCCGCCCACCTCTGGACGTCTGTGTGTCCATCACGGAGGCTCTGGTCCCTTGGTGCCGACTCCAGGCCATGCCTCTCTCAACTTTTATTGTGCTTTGCTGTGAGGGCCATGGCCGACAGCCTCCTAGCCTGGAAGTCCTCCTTCCTCTCTCCTCGGCGTGTTGATAATTACTTATACTCTTTTCTGTGATGCCTTCCACAATCAGTGTGAACCCATATGGTCATTCCTGCTGATTAAAAGTCATGCAACCAGTACTGCCTGCTCCTTTCGTGTGCTCTGCTCGGTTTTCACAGACGAAAGCTCCGAAGACTTCTCTGCGCTGCTCAAAAGCTTGCGCAGAAACGTCTGTCTTGTCTTTTTCCGGGTGGAATCACAAACTCTTTAACCTGACTTCAATACTGGCCTTCCCTTCCTCCCTGCACCCTCTCTGTCATAGCTGCTCCTAGCAGGGGGAGTGATTACTGTATCACAGCACTTCTGTCCTTAGTCCTGGCATTCTCATCTTCAATTAACCAGCCAAAAGCTGGAAGTAGAGGTGTGGCTCAAATGGTAGAGCGCCTTGCCTAGAGTGACAAAAAGCTAAGGGAGAGCATCAGACCCTAGTATCGGCACAAAAAGGAAATCCAGGCGTAATGCTGAAAGGCCACGGTGGTCTGGGCAGGACACGCTCCCCGTTTTGGGGAAGCATGGCCTACTTATCAAGTCACTCCACAGAGCAGTGCGGGGAAGGAGGAGGAAGCACACAGAGCAGTGATGGGTGGGGGCCGAGGACAGGCTTCTCAGAACCAATTGGGCTGGGACAGTGGCCCGCTTCCTCCACCCCTTCCCCCGCCTGCAGCTCAGCGCAGCTCCCAGCATCGGCACCTGTGCCACACCAGAGGCACTGTGTTCTGGCACTTCCTGAAAGATGGGCAGAGCATAGGCTGGACGGGTGGCCTGAGAGAGATGGACAGAAGGACCGCCGCTGGCCCCTGTGCCACCCTGCAGAGTTCTTGGACCAGAGCTCCTCGGAGCCAGGGTGCTTCCAGTACTTCAAAGACAGCTCTATTCTGAGGATGGTTCTGGGGCCCTCGGCCAAGTCAAGTCACAGGCTAACGCTTTTATGCTCGGGCTTTGATCACCCTCCTTTAATCTCCTCTGGTGGGGTGGGGTTCTCCGTTTGTACCTCACTCTCGGACCTCCTCGGTGCTGGCTCTCCTTTAAAGTGAGCAGGAGAGGCATGGGGCTTGAGCCGTAGGAAACAGACCCACAACTGTCAAACTGGCTGTTTTTGTGTTTTGTGCTTTGTCTTGAATCACCCAACCCCTCCGCCCAGCCACACTTGGGATCCCCAGATGTTTCCTTATCTATGGGTTTCTCACTTTGGAGCAAACGAGTAGAGTTTAAAAACCAAATAAAGTGATCCACCTTACCAGATCAACATACACAGTAACCCAGGAAAGGCAAACATATTGGGTAAAATGAAAGGTCTGGGATAGTTTAAAATGTATCATCAGCTCTGAGGGTCCGCGGGACACACACACCAAGGCTTGCACCCAGAGAGAGGGGTGCTGGGTGCATTTAATTTTGTATTACTTGCCCCTCTCTATTTTCCAATTTACATTAGATGAACACTCATTTGTTTTGCAATAAAGAAAAAAATTAATTTAAGAAAATAGTCACATAAAGACCAGAAAAGCAATCTCTTATTAATAATGAGCTTATTTCTTACAAATGACAATTCCGAATGTTCTGGGCTGATAATAAATGACACAGTGTTTTTTCCCCCTAAACTAATCTCCTTGTAATATTCCCCCGGCTTATTTGACTATAACAACTTAAAAACCAGCTCAGCCAGCCTCCGGGAAGTCATTAATTACTGTATTTGTTACTGTGTGGATATGAACAGGAGATGCTTGCTAGCTCGGCAGGAATGTTTAGGTTCTTAAATGAGATTGACCTGCCTGGAATCCCATGGCTCTGGAACTCTCTAGTTGTTGACACTAAGTCACTTTCGCAAGACCAAGTCATTTGGACTTACGCTTTAGTCTGAGCTAAGGCATTCCCCTACGGGTGGAGTACTGAGGATGGGAAGGGGACTGACATGGGCACAGGAGGGGGGCACGTGACGGGTGGGCACAGGAGGGAGGCACGTGATGGGTGGGCACAGGAGGGGGGCACGTGATGGGTGGGTGCAGGAGGGGGGCACCTGATGGGTGGGCACAGGAAGACACATGACGGGTGGGCGCAGGAGGACACGTGACGGGTGGGCGCAGGAGGACACGTGACGGGTGGGCACAGGAAGAAACGTGACGGGTGGGCACAGGAAGACACATGACGGGTGGGCACAGGAAGACACATGACGGGTGGGCGCAGGAGGACACGTGACGGGTGGGCGCAGGAGGACACGTGACGGGTGGGCGCAGGAGGACACGTGACGGGTGGGCACAGGAGGGGGGCACGTGACGGGTGGGCGCAGGAGGGCACGTGACGGGTGGGCACAGGAGGGGGGCACGTGACGGGTGGGCGCAGGAGGACACGTGACGGGTGGGCGCAGGAGGAGGACACGTGATGGGTGGGCACAGGAGGGGGGCACGTGACGGGTGGGCACAGGAGGGGGGCACGTGACGGGTGGGCGCAGGAGGACACGTGACGGGTGGGCGCAGGAGGACACGTGACGGGTGGGCGCAGGAGGACACGTGACGGGTGGGCACAGGAGGACACGTGATGGGTGGGCACAGGAGGGGGACACGTGACGCGTGGGCGCAGGAGGACACGTGACGGGTGGGCACAGGACACGTGACGGGTGGGCGCAGGAGGACACGTGACGGGTGGGCACAGGAGGGCACGTGACGGGTGGGCGCAGGAGGGGGACACGTGATGGGTGGGTGCAGGACACGTGACGGGTGGGCGCAGGAGGACACGTGACGGGTGGGCACAGGAGGGCACGTGACGGGTGGGCGCAGGAGGGGGGCACGTGATGGGTGGGCGCAGGACACGTGACGGGTGGGCGCAGGACACGTGACGGGTGGGCGCAGGAGGACACGTGACGGGTGGGTGCAGGAGGACACGTGACGGGTGGGCGCAGGAGGACACGTGACGGGTGGGCGCAGGAGGGGGACACGTGACGGGTGGGCGCAGGAGGACACGTGATGGGTGGGCACAGGAGGGGGACACGTGACGGGTGGGCGCACGAGGGGGACACGTGACGGGTGGGTGCAGGAGGACACGTGACGGGTGGGCGCAGGAGGGGGACACGTGACGGGTGGGCGCAGGAGGGGGGCACGTGACGGGTGGGCGCAGGAGGACACGTGACGGGTGGGCGCAGGAGGACACGTGACGGGTGGGCGCAGGAGGACACGTGACGGGTGGGCGCAGGAGGACACGTGACGGGTGGGCGCAGGAGGAGGACACGTGATGGGTGGGCACAGGAGGGGGGCACGTGACGGGTAGGCACAGGAGGACACGTGACGGGTGGGCGCAGGAGGACACGTGACGGGTGGGCGCAGGAGGACACGTGACGGGTGGGCGCAGGAGGGGGGCACGTGACGGGTGGGCGCAGGAGGGGGGCACGTGACGGGTGGGCGCAGGAGGGGGGCACGTGACGGGTGGGCGCAGGAAGGGGGCACGTGACGGGTGGGCGCAGGAGGGGGGCACGTGACGGGTGGGCGCAGGAGGACACGTGACGGGTGGGCGCAGGAGGACACGTGACGGGTGGGCGCAGGAGGACACGTGACGGGTGGGCGCAGGAGGACACGTGACGGGTGGGCGCAGGACACGTGACGGGTGGGCGCAGGAGGACACGTGACGGGTGGGCACAGGAGGGGGACATGTGACGGGTTGGCGCAGGAGGACACGTGACGCATGGGCACAGGAGGACACGTGACGGGTGGGCACAGGAGGGGGCCCCGTGATGGGTGGCCCCTCCCCACCAGGCCAGGGGGCCTCTCTTCTTCTATTAAATCACTCTTTGGGCTGGTTCTGAGATACCGCCAGGGGACCCAGGACAGAAGCACATACACATAGGACCCAGTGTGTGGGAGATGCAGGCTGGTGTCACCCCGGTGCCCTCT